AGAGGCTGGCCAAATGTCAATAAAGTCCTAACAGGGCAGCAGAGAGGGAGTAAAAGACATGTGTGAATTCAAAATGGCATTTTTGCACCCCTTTTGCACTGTTAGAAGGAGAACCACCCGGAGGGTCATTGCAAACTAGAGTTGTAGTCGAGACCAGCTCAGTTGTGTTAAGACTGAGACCAGAAGAGGGACGAGTCTGAGTCCACATGCTCCGACAAGACCAAGACCATGAAAATATGGTCTTAGACTTGACCTTGAGTCTGAGTCAAGACCATATTTTCATGGTCTGTGCAGAGTCCAAGACAATATTATCATGTCAGTAGTTTTGGTCTTCGAGCCAGAGTCTGAATGTAGACTGAGTACACATGGTCCTGAAAAGACCAAGAACATGAAAATACGGTCTAAGACTGAGTACAAGGGCAAATTTTCTTGGTCTTAGTTTTGGTCCTCGAGGCCAAGTCTAAAACCATATCTGAATTCAATACCAAATCCAAGTCAGAATTCAAGTCTATATTTTCATGGTTTTGGTATTTGACCTGTTGTCAGAATCCAAGTCCATACAGTATTTTCATTGTCTTGGTATTTGAGTCAAAATCCTAGTCCATATTTTCATGGGTTTTGGCATTTGAGTCAGAATCTAAGACCAAATTTTCTTGGTGTTTGACCTGTTGTCAGAATCCAAGTCCATATGAAGAGTTCAGATACAAAAGCCTCTAAGTGCCATTTGAAATTTTCTTCAAGAATGATCATTTTTATCAAGCTTATATATTCAAGTTCAGTAATTTCACTTAAATGACAATTAATAGGTAATTTTCATTGCAATTTAAGTGAAATTACTTACTTGCTTGATAAAAATGATCATTCTAGAAGAAAATTTCAAATGGCACTTAGAGGCTTTTGCATCTGAACTCTTCATATTTTCATTGTCTTGGTATTTGAGTCAAAATCCAAGTCCATATTTTCATGAGTTTTGGCATTTGAGTCAGAATCTAAGACCAAATTTTCTTTGTGTAGGTCCTGTTGTCAGAATCCAAGTCCATATTTTCATGGGTTTTGGCATTTGAGTCATTGAGTCATTTGGCATTTTCTTTGTGTAGGTCCTGTTGTCAGAATCCAAGCCCTTAGCCAGTGTTGTAGTCGAGACAAGTTCATTTGAGTCAAGACCAGAAGAAGGTCAACATGATCTTGAAAAGACCAAGACCATGAAAACACAGTCTTAGACTCAACCTTGAGTCCAAGACCATATTTTAATGGTCATCTGAGTCCAACACCAAATCCAAGTCATAATCCAAGACCATAATTTCATGGTCTTTGTCTTCAAGTCAGAGTCTAAGACCATATTTTCTTGTACATGTCGTTGACTCAGGAGCATGAGGACTCAGTTTTGACTTGGACTGGATCATGGTTTTTTTTTTCAGTGTGATGTGGGATTTTTTAAAATTCAGTTGCTTTTGCAAAAGACTTATTTGTACATATTCGTTATATACCTTCACCAAGGCAAATTCATTTCAGAGGTTTATTTACTACAATCTTAACAGCTGTAAGCATGCGTGAATGTTACTCTTGGGTGTACTAAACAGTCACATAAATGACGATAATGCCCTGCATCACTTCAAGTGTCTGTTAGAGTAAGTAGGCCTAGTCATGCTCACTTTCGAATGTAATTCTCTCTATGTGGTTTTTAAGTTACTGTGCTGGGTGATGACAGTGTGAGTGGAGTGTCAGCCCACTGCTGGGTGGCATCATCTTGTGTTTGACTGAGTTTAATCACTTTAACTAAAAATACAGAATTCATGTGCACATCTTGCATGTGGACAGACTGTAATTTGTGCTCACACAAACAGTTCCACTCCAGACAAACTTTATTTTAATTCTTCGCTCTTTTTCCAGGTTGTCCGCAGTCAAGTGAAACATTACATTCTGAGTTGTCATGGTTTATTTTGACTGAGGGCAGTGGAGCACTCTCTCTCTCTCTCTCTCTCTCTCTCTCTCTCTCTCTCTCTCTCACACACACACACACACACACACACACACACACTTTCTCTTCCACATTTGTTTTAAGGAATGTATGTTCCTGGTTGTATCTGTCAAAAGTTTGGAAACCTTACAATATACAGTATTAACGTTCTTTAAATAAGTCTCTTATGCTTACCAAGGCTGCATTTATTTAATACACATACTGTAAAAACAGTAAAATAGTGACAAATTATTACAACTTAACGTATTTGTTTTCTAGTTTTATTAATTTATATGTTGTATAATGCCTTTGGTGTGAGAGACCCGGGTTCGAATCCACTGTGAGACATCAATGTGTCCCTGAGCAAGACATGGACACAACCCCTAGTTGCTCCAGAGGCGTGCGACCTCTGACATATAGCAATTGTAAGTCGCTTTGGATAAAAGCGTCAGCTAAATGAATAAATGTAAATGTATAAAGAAATGATGATATTATTTGATTTATAGTTCTGTTTATATGTACATGTACTGTGTACACACTGTGTACATGTACTGTGTACATACTGTGTACATAAAATGAAATATTATGGATCAAAGTTTATAACTGTCTAAGCATGACTTCGGTTAACCATCGGCTGCAGCGGTTCATAACAGAACAGTCACGTGTCTGTACTGAACACAACAGGGTAACAATTAGCTTAACATTACATACTTTACATACATTCTGGAGGCAAGGAGAAAGAGAGAGAGAGAGAGAGAGAGGGGCCTTGCCTGTCCTCTAACATCTGCAGCAGGCCCAAAGTTTTATATACTTCGGTGTTGCTCTGTGAAACCATAGTAAAGGAGAAAATGGAAATGTAATACTGCTGATTATGGCATTACATGCAGCTGCATTGTCTTTATATAATTCTTTATGATGAAACAAAACTAATGTTTAAAATATCAGGACGTTCCTCAATATTGGCCACAGATTTTAAAGGAGTAGTTCACGTTTGAAAAAACTTTTTCTGATAATTTACTCACCCCCATGTCATCCAAGATGTCCATGTCTTTCTTTCCTCAGTCGAAAAGAAATTTAGGTTTTTGATGAAAACATTCCAGGATTTTTCTCCATATAATGGACTTCAATGGGAACCGGATGGTTCAAGGTCCAAAAGACAGTTAATAACTGTTTCAGATGCAGCTTTAAATGTTTTTAAACGACACCAGACGATGAATAAGGGTCTTATCATGCGAAACGATCGGTTATTTCAAAACTTATTCCAAAAATGTAACTTTTCTAAGGACAAATGCTAGCCTTGCTATATTCTCTGAGGCACGTTTGTAACGTCACGTAATACGTAATTACGTTCAAAAGGTCACAGGCGACGTAGCCGGAAGTACAGAATCAAAATCGTCCGACATCGTTGTTTTTCCTTTTAATTCCTTTTTTTGTAAACGGTGTTTGAGCTAGTTTGCACATTCAACCTATGCGTTCAACTTGTAAACACTGACTCTGTACTTTCGGCTACGTCGCCCGTGACCTTTTGAACGTAATTACGTAATACGTGACGTTGCAAACGCGCCTCAGAGAATATAGCAAGGCTAGCATTTGTCCTTAGAAAAGTTACATTTTTGGAATAAGTTTTGAAATAACCGATCGTTTCGCATGATGAGACCCTTATTCATCGTCTGATATCGTTTAAATACATTTGAAGCTGCATCTGAAACAGTTATTAACTGTCTTTTGGACCTTGAACCATCCGGTTCCCATTGAAGCCCATTATATGGAGAAAAATCCTGGAAAGTTTTCATCAAAAACCTAAATTTCTTTTCGACTGAGGAAAGAAAGACATGGACATCTTGGATGACATGGTGGTGAGTAAATTATCAGCAAAAGTTTTTTCAAAAGTGAACTAATCCTTTAAGGTTGTAAAGTCTGATATTTTGCACACTGAAAATAAAAAGAAGTTTCTGCTAAATGAACAGATGTAATTGCTGTGTTTCTTGAGCTACAGGATAATGTCCGTGCAGTAGATACATTTTTTTTTTTTTTGAGGAATCCAGTTAAGGTCAATTAAAGCATACATGAGTCCCCTCAAAAACTTCAATAATTGGACTCCTACAAACTTTTTATTGGCCTGTAATGATTCAGCTTTCACACTAAAGGCTACTTCACTTTAACGCTGTTAACATTCCGACATCGTTAAAAAAAGGATACCAGGTCTACAACAATATTGTGCTGAAATCTCTGCGTTTTTGTTCCTTAACATTCCTTCTGAGATCTAATATCATTTTATGGACCTTTTTTAATGATTTTAATAATTTGGAGGTAAAATAGCCTAGTTGCTAATAAATTCAAAGTGTTCAACTCACAAATCTTGTTTAGGTCATATTTCATCTCATAATGCTTAATGTTCATGAAAACGTCAATTCAACAATTTGAATAGGCATACTATTGAACAGATAGGTTTTAAATATAGAAATAAGCTTTATATATATATTGTTGATTCACCTTCAATGTTCCATCCAAAATCTCTTTAACAAAATGATACTGTCAGGAGTGAGTCAGAAAACGTGTAACTCTTCAGAGTTGGACAGTAGTGGTCCCTGATGCAATTTCCTGTGTGTGTGCAGAGCTTGTACAGAGACACGCTGAGAGTAGGGAATCGATTCAATAAATCGGTTCTTTCGAACGATTCGTTTCAATGAACCGGCTCAAAAAAGATTCAGTGGTTCTTGTTGTCCAGGACATCGACATTTGTTACGGGGCATGGTTCATTTAACAACATAATTAAGTAGCCTAGATTTTGAACCCAAAAATGTGTTTTTAGAAACACGTTTTATTTGTAGGCTATATCCAGTAAAATGTTGGCTAGCTACAAAGAAGGTAGCTGAATTAGATTAATCGGTCAAATCTTAGGTTTAGGTTCTGCGGCTCTCGGTTTGATGAGTCAGTTTGGCTCGAGAACCTCTCGGACGGTTCTAGGTGCAAACGATTCATGAAAAGATTCGACTCAACCGAACGATTCGTTTATGAATCGGTCAGGGCTAGCAGACGGGGGTTTGGCTCCCGGCGTAATCTGACCCCAGAACTCGGCTCTTTAAAGGAATAAAGGATGAATTTACTGAATGGAGTTCCGCTGCAACGTCTGCTGAGTTCAGAGCAGGGACGAAAGCACTAAAAGATGCCGCTATAGGAGAATGAAAGTTTTGGAGGAGAAACTGTTGCTAGCGTTTACGAACTTTGGAGGCGTAACGTTTAGCGCAGCGGTGTGATGTGATGTGATCTACCGGCTTTGAAAACATTAAAGTAAAAACTCGGGCGGTCAAGAGAAGGACAGTCAAGGTAAGTTCAACGGTGTACGTGGGACACGAGGATAGTTTGACTCCGGTTTAGAAAATATCTGGATCCTGGCATGTGTGTTCATGTTTAATGTTTGCATGCTTTAGATCTCCCAAATCGCAGCGTGCTTTATTTGGGATGTTCTTATATGTTAATGTTGACATTTTCCAGTCTGACACACCTGTGCGTTGTGCCCATTTTTGGACGAAAGTAACGACTGCAGTTCCTACATGTGCCATCATTGTAAAGTTTTGTTCTGCTGTTTCATGAACAAACAGAAAGGGAAGAGTACGTTAGCCTAATGATGTTTGCAACCCGCATTTTGGACACTCGTGGTGTTAATAAAACTGTTTATGAAGTGTTTCTTGAGAGTGTTTATGTCTGTAACATTCCCAGTGCATGTGCATTTGCGCTCACGTTGAGTTTTTTTTTAAATTATTATTATAATGAATGAGTTTGATCTCAGTTTGACCTCACACACACACACACACCATCTAATTCTGCACAATAAACAGTCATGAGTAAATGCTTATAGAATAAACCCTAGTTATTCTCTTCACTCTCTCAGATGCTTAAACTTATTATTACAGTGCTTGCAAAATATCACTGTTGATATTATTCAAACTTGCAAGCAATTTCTCAGCCAATAACTTTTTTTTTTGTTAATATCTATTCATTTATGCAGTAGGCTATATTCAATGGCTTGAATTAACCTCTTTTATGATGTACGTTTTCAGATTTTTAATTTTATTTAACTTATGATCGTAGAGAAGAAAAGCTTATTAAAAGCTGTATATGTAGGCTATTGAAGGTGTAAGGACAATATTATTTTGTAATAGTTACACAACATGACATGAATCAAAATTGGCTGAAATTTTTCATATAGATTTTTTAAATAATGTCCTTTTTATTATCTCAGACATCTTTAGTTGTCATTGACCCTATTCCTCATCTTCTAGCCATAGCGTTATGTCAGGATTCATTCTCATAATGACAGATGCCACTTAATTTGTGTAGAACCAAAGTGTAAAACATATGAGCATGCCTAAAACTGTTGTCTTGCAAGCAGTGTTTTTTTTTTCCTCTTTCTCTTCAGCCTGCATCAGTCATTGCTTTCTCAGGGCAACTGCGGTGTGTAGGTGATGTTTACACCTCAGAATAGAGGCTATATTTACTGCTCCAGCTGATAATGAGTGTGGCTAGTTTAGAAGCCTGTTATTAGGCTGAATACAAAGCTTCCTGTAGACCAGAGGAGAGAATATTGAGGATGAGCTACAGGAGATCTCCATGCCTCATCTACAGCTGTTAGAAACTCTGTGATTCTTGTAATCCCAGCTATTTATACCACCACTAAATGGGTGTTGTATTCAGCAGCAGATGTTCTCACCCCTAAATATGACATATCTTCAGGCGTGGGCTGTGGCGATGAGCTATATTCAGTAGTGCCTTTTGGCGTCATTGATGGCTGTTCAATTTATGGTTCAGCGGCATGGTTTGCTTGTCTTAGCTGGTTTAGCTGGCTTTCCAAACTGGCCTTAAAATGGTGTAACTAGTCTCTTTGCCTGACCAGCTCATTTAAAAGTATACCTCAACCCCCTAAAGCCATCAAAACAGTCTTGGAGACCAGATGGCGGTCTTTAAGGTTTTTTTTTTTATGCTTTATTTTTTTTAACCATGCAGAAACCTTTGGAGAAACTTACCTTTTCAGTCCTTCACATAAGTTAAAGCTCTACAGAGAAATGCACTGGAGTCATCTCCATGGTCGACAACATTATTATTTTTCTCACCAGAAACCTTGGGAGATACCAACCTTGTCCGACCTTCTCGAGTGTACTGATAAGAGCTCTACAGAGAACTACTATGGAGTCAGAAAGGGTCTGCATGGTGGAATGGATTTTATTTAGCTGTTTGCTGACGAACAGCTACTTTGAGTTAGTCGAGCAGGCGTTTCTATTAGTCAGACCTCCAAAGCTGATGTTAGGGTGCCCATAAATTGTTGCACAGACACCAAGTGGAAACTTTGTTTCAGACTGAAACAAAAGATGTCAGGCTCTGTTTAGTTGCTTGTGGGGGCCGTAATAGTATTCAAATGTAACTGATTGATTGTATTCAAATTGAAACACACTTGAGCACAAATACAACAAGCTGACCCAGACACACTTTTTTCTGTTGATTTGAGTAATTCGGATGAAATGCCAAAGCCTTGGGAAACCAGTTTGGTCTTGACAGAAACGAGGCAGAAAAACAACAGAGCGGATTTCACACGTCTGTTGCGATGATATCATTTAATCGCTTACATCACCACAGCTGTACACGAGAACTGGGTGTGTGTGCATGGGGGTACATAAAATAAAGTTTCAAAATGATATTCATTTCATTGGAGTAACAGAGGAGGTTCTGTTTTATTGAATGATGCACCAGAGACCTGTCCTGGTTTCTAACTGGCCTCTATGACCCACATGCACATGACTAATTTTTTATTTATTTCACATTGCTTTTTTTTTTTTTTTTCATAAGTTTTATTCTTTCCACTACTATGCTGTTTAACAGAGATCATATTCTCTATGTGTCTCATAAGAGTATATTGAGTTTTGCTAATGATGACAGTCTATTTTCGGTCATTAAAAGCTAAACAGTGACAGCTTTGGCCTTTACACTTGTTGTCGTGGATGTGCGTCATATATGAGAACTGTGACAGCTTGGTCTTTTGAGAAGAGTATAGAACCGAGCGAAATCTCAAAAAATCGAACTACTTTCAAAAATCTTTTTCAATATTATTAATAAATAAATATTATGAGTAAATAAATACGAAATAAATCAAAGTATTTATTTGCTGTGCATGGCTTCTAAAATGTTTAATTACTTAAATTTGTCCAAACTGTCATGATTTAAAAAGTAAAAGTACAAAAGAAATCAAATGTTACAATAAATGCAAGAACTAAAATAATTTTAGTTTAAAAGTTTAAAATAAAAATTATTATTATTTTTTTAATTTAATGTTATGCATGTGTGTATATATATATATATATATATATATATATATATATATATATATATGTAGCCTAAATATTGCGGTTTATTACTGAAGAGACTTCTGTAAACATTTATGACTGTTGACTTGAACGGATCAAGAATCAATTTATTGTACTGATTAAAATGTATTGTTAATCAGTGTATTTATAGTTTAAAAGGAAAGTTTTTAAACTGATTAAGGGAGTTTATCTTGCCAACTTATGATTTTTGCTACTGAAATCAAAATCATGCTATTGCACATCTTTTACTAAACTAAAAAATAAAAACTTCATACTTTCCGGTTGTGACCATGATTGTGATATTTTATTAGTAATATTTATTGTGATTATAAACAGAAATGTTCATTTGATATCATACTGAATATACTGGGAATGTTTGATAAATCTTGTCCATATCTTGTACGTGTCCTACTCTATAGAGAAAGAGTAAAAGAGTGTGGCTACTTTTCCTCCTCTCTTTCTCCCTTCCCCCGCCAAACAAGTCAAGGGTGCAAAATGCCTTGTTCCTCACCGCATTAGCACAGAGGCTTCAGGGGCCATTGGATTATTTGCATCTTGCTGTCATATTCGGCAGTACAAGTGGACGTGGGCAGAAACATTGGCTTAATTTGACCTCTCTCTCTCTCTCCAATGGCCATGTTTGCCTCTGCCTGGCTAGGCCTACGTCTCCCAAACCTCAGGTTCTGCTGACTTCAGTCAAGTCCGTACATAACGGGACAGAGAGTTATAGCATTTTGGTCAGCTAGCGGAATCTCTCTGTGCGCCGCTTCTGTAATTTGTCAGTAGGGCTGTAGTTACGACCATGCTAATTGCAGAGTGCGACATGGCACAGTTGTGCCGCTCTGCAGTTTAAATGTCTGGAGACTTCTGGTGTCAGTCCGTCTCATTTACCATTCCAACGCCACAGATGGTTTTCCTTTTTGTCTGTTACAAGCGCCCTTATATTGTCCAGAAGTTAACCTTGATGGCTTTGTAGTCTGTCAAAACCCTCTTCTTGCGTTTATTGTTGGAACATGACATTTTTGAAACATTCTGTTATTTAGTTATCCTGCATTGTGTGACTTGAGGTTTTATTTTCCCACCATTTGAATAGAGATGTTATCTTTAGCAGTTTTCAGACTTCTAGATCAGTGCGTGTTTGTGACAAGCTACATTTAAAATCCAGTGACAAATTTATCTACAAGCTTGGCGCTTTGATTGGAGCACAGGACCTTGAGAGAGAGGCTTTGTCACATCAGTTGTGGAAACTGTGATATAGGGTTGGTGACATAAGATTATCTACGATAAAAAGAAGTTATTATATTCATGGTTTAAATTTAGGCCCCGTCCACACTACTGCATTTTCGTTTAAAAACTGAGATCTTTTGCTACGCTTGCACCTCCCGTCCAGACTAAAACGGAAAAAACGAAGACCTAAAACTGAAAAGTTTAGAAACGCTGCAACTCCGTTTTGCGTTTCGAATCTCAGGAGGGCGTTTTAGTCAAGACGGGACAAAACGGAGGACTTAAGAAACAGTGACGTAGAGGCTCACGCTCGGCTCTATGATTGGGTGTCATCAGTCATGGCGTGTCCTTCCCTGATTGGTCAGCCACCCATCACATGACCCATCCCCGTTTCTTCTTCATCAAATCTGAGGAATAGTCAAATTCGTTTCCGGTTCACACCAGCACGCCCATGCCCAGTGTTGGTGAATGGTCACGTTTTCAGTCGTTTTAATGTGGACTGAGATCAATTCTAATAATATGCAGAAAGAAAGCAGGTGTGGACGGAGATTGTGTTCGTTTTAATTCTCCGTTATTAAACGAAAACGCAGTAGTGTGGACAGGGCATAAATAAGCTTTAAAAAGGTCCATGAACTGTTTTTCTTTTAATGTATAATGTTCTTTGAGGTCCATTTATAGTGTTAGCAAGTGTTTTTTTACATCAAAAAATTCTAATTTACAAGTAATCGTCACAGACAATTAGGGTCCTATCCTGTTTTTGACCTTATGTTTCAAACACTCAATTTTGATAGGTGTGCATTCAAGACTCAAAAGTAACACCCACTGCCAGGGCCTGAAATTAACACCCGACCACCTGCCAAATGCGGGTGAATTTTCCTATTGGCGGGTAACACTGTCAATCTACCTGCCACATTGGCAGGTAGCCAATGAGAATTGAGTGATTCATTAGGATTTTTACATTTCAACTAAGTCCGCCATTGCGTTTGACTTTAGCTAAAATGTGGCGGCACATTACTGGGGTAAAGAAGCCAGCTGAAACAAACAACCAACAAAAAGATGAGGATGAGAAAAAGAAAAGTAAAAGAAGACATTTCAATACAAAGTGGACAATTGGCGGCAATGGCAAGGTTCGTGAGCGGCTGATTTATGACCGCAACTGTTGTTTCGGAACGTTCATGCGATCAGAAGAAGACGATCGAGGCCCTTTTCCGACTACTTTTGGATGTGCGAGTATTAAACTGTTGGTGAGATGGGATGAGATAATGTAACGCTGACGTAGCCTACGTACAATGACAGTTGCACAGATGTGTGTGCATGTGCAACTGTGCATGTTGGGAGTTGGGAACCAGTGAGAAAATGTCCAGTACCTTTACCAGTAATAACAATATTAATTTAGTTCATAGTTAACAGTTCCTGAACGCTGTAACTAAAAGCTGTCAGGATCTGTCTACGTGACTAAACCAGCCATCAACCCAGCCGCGTGTGATTTGTTTACATACGAGCTGCGGTAGGTCTATCTGTTGAGTATATACTATATAGCCTATACTATATACTGTATATGTTGTGTGAGTGACAAAATCAATGAATATAAAGATGTATGTTCTTAGAGATATTATTATTACTTGACAGCACTTAAATGTGTATTCTTACAAGTGAAAGAACAATGTTGTGAAATTCACGTTTTTTTCACCTTTATATAAACGTGAAAAAAAAAAAAAACAGGAATTTCACAATATTGTTCTTTTTTACCATTTTTTGGCTGATGCAAAATATGAGGCAAAAAAAAAAGTGGCTGGTAAAAAGTCTCTGTGGCAGGTGAATTTTTAAATCCACCTGCCACAGTGGCCGGTGGCCGAAAAAGTTAATTTCAGGCCCTGCCCACTGCTATGATTGGATAACAGTTTTGCATTTTTAAATTATTTTCAGCGTTTTTTGCCATTGCACATGTGGAGTTGTTCTGAAAACTTCCAATGTTCGTCAGAGTCTGATCCCGAATCAGAAGACAAACTTCTAGTACCAAGGATACCCCAGTCTAATGACCTCTTATAAATGTCAAAAGATCAATATTTTGTAATGTGGTGTAATCAAGTGAAATAGTTGTAACATTTCAGAGTAATCAAATATGTATAATAACAATATAATAAAAATGTATAATAACAAGACATTGTGCTTATGAATTGCATTTCTGATGTATTTTTAAATAAAAAAAAAGTTGATAAGAAGAAAAAAAAAAGGTAATTGACCGGCTAACGTCACAGAAGTTACAAACTTTTAAAATGTGAGCTACAAACTGTCGGTCGCCTGTCAGCTTTGTTCAGGTAAAAATAAGCAGCGCTTTCCACTATTCAAGAGCTTGTCTCATTTGAGCCGCCACATTCTTTATCCCTTTTTCAGGGGAAGAGAGAAAGACCCCCCTCCCTTATATTGGTAATGGGACTGTCATGCAGAAAGACTCCATTGTGTGGGCCAGGATCCTGTTTCTCCCTGGGCCTGTAATTAAGAAGGGATTGCTTGAACAGGGATATTTAGGTGGCTGAATATAGGGTAGGGATTGCTTAGGCCGCTGGGTAAACTGTCTACACATGCATAACTGGACTAACCCCATCCACACGGCCTTCGAACGATAAATGCATGTGCATATTAGTGTCTACAGTGTGCATATAGAGAGAGAGGTAGCCTTTGTTAAACTGTGTCATCTCTATGAGCTCACAGCTCAAGTTTGCTTTTCAGTGGTTACCTAGGTGATCACTAAAAAGTGAGCTCATTTGATGGGAGGGAAACAATAAAACAGAGGTGAAAAGAAACCCTTGGCCGAGAGCGTTTACCGCCAGACCTGTGATGTCAACAGCGTGTTCTCATCTTTTGGGAAATGTCAGTCTTAGATCACCAAGATTCTGGCCTCTTTTTTTTATTAGACTGTCTAGTGGAATTAAACTCCACTAAAAACACTTCAGTAAAGTTCCTGTCAGTTACACAAGCAATGGTTCACTAATATGGTATGCAACGCCCATTCCAATTTCTATGAGAGCAGGGTGGTCGGTGGCTGATATAATGCCAATATAGGCGTAATACAACTAAAATGATAGCGAATGGAAGACCGTGTATCTCAAAATTGTGCTTTTATTTTCAGAATTGCACCTTTATTTCTCATAACTGCGACTGCACAGATCACTATAATTTGGGTTTTTTGCAAATGCTACTTAATTTCTTGTAAATACTACTTTGTATCACAATATTACTTATAATATAAAAATTGTGACTTATAATTAATTACTTTGTATCTCACAAAACATATCTTAATTGAAACTATTGAGTGTGATTTTATTTTTCTTCTCTAATTGGAACTTCATGTCAAATGCAACGTTTTCTCACAATAACCGTTTTTATTTTTATTTTGTTTTTACAGACTTCCATGCTAATCACACTCTAAAAAATGCTTTTGTTTATTTTAACCCAATTTTGGGTCAAATATGGACAAACCCAGCCATTAAGTTACATTTTCTAATTAAATTTTTAACCCATTGTTTGAGTTTGTCCATATACCCAAAATTGGGTTAAAAACAACCCAGCATTTTTTTAGAGTGCAAATTTACACTGACTTTCTAAAATCCAGATCATGGAAAAAGTTAGTAATATCAGGGAATTGGAATTTTTTGTGGGGGATTTTATTAAATTGGGAACATTTTTAAATATTTATTCAATAATCAAGAATGACTATGTAAAATTCATGGCAATTATTTAGTCAAAAGTTGTGGAAATCAACCCTGGAAATGAAGTATTGGATTATCTGTGGACAAGGCTGAAGTAGATTTTGGATATTTATAAACCTGTGTTTGAATTGACAATAATTGCCAACTGAATGGTTCTCGTCAGTACTATGATGGCTTTTGTTATGGTGATCTTGTTCTTTCAGTCTTTTTATTTACTCTGTCGAATTGACAATTTAATTTAACTAGACACAGTGGTTAATTAATTTTTTTCCTCTCTCTAAACCAGCCCGGGTCCAAGGTCCCGCTCCTCCTTTACAAGCTTCAAGGCAAACCTGTTAACCCTGTCTTGTATTTGCCTTGTGTTCATTCATGTAAAAGTGAATTGTGTTCTCTGACCAATTTCCGTCACTGTTTCCTGCAGGTTGTCAGACTGGCACACTGGCACAGATGGCAGAGGTGATGGAGGGCATAGCCACGGCAGCAGTGCCCAACTCCAGTGTGGACTGGCAGAAGCGATGCATCGCTCTGGAGACGCAGCTTATGAGGTTTCGTCTGCAAGCGGGAAATATCCGCCACCTACTTGCTGAGAGGGTAAAAGAGGGGTATTATGGGTAACACAGGGTCTACAAAATCGCCCACTGCATTCCAGCTGTGCATATGATTTGTTTATTTTCTGAACATTTCGGACAGCTCATGTATGCATAAATTCATCTAGCCAAAACAAATATCTATCCCCTCAAGTAGGATTGTAACAAAGCCACTTTCATTGACAGTAAACACTCTATAATTCACTCTATACTAAATCACTCTATAATTTTGTAATCAGTGAGTACCTTGATGTATATCAAAACACCCCGTGGCATTATCATCTGTTTCAGTAATTCTTTGAAAGGGTGAAAATAGCTAATTCTATTTCTCATTTACTTCTTTTAAAGAATCTTAGTCACAATGGAAAAAGTTGCTTAGTTTCTCTTCTGCTCTTTTCTTCTCTCCCTCCCCATCTACAGTTTGGTCATGCTGCATTGACCTCAGTGTTTTGTCTTGCAAGAAAAGGTTAACTGTTAAACTTGGCAGGCGGCCCTGCAGGGAAAAACCAATGACTCGTGTGAATGCTTGAGTGGACATACAGGTGTGTGTGTGTGTGTGTGTGTGTGTGTCTGTGTGTGTGCGCGTTAGACACAGGAAGGATTCCTTTTTTAATGACCAGATTAGCACAAGTAACAGTATTTTAAGAAAATGGTGTTGCTTGCCTATGGCCACATTGTAAGGGTGTTGTGGGTGGTTGCCAAGGGCATTGCTATGTGGTTTTCTGAGTGGATGTTAGCATGTTGCTAACTAAGTGATAGCTTTAGTGTTCTGGGTGGTTACTTACTGTCAAGAGTCAAGGTTATGTGATATTGTGCTTTGGTATTATGTATTTGCCTGTTTTATTGTGAAACAGATCACACCTATGTTTGGGTGAACAACCTCCATTAGTTTGGAGATAGTCTTAGCTTCAGACGCCACGCACACAGACTGTTGTCTGATCGTCTGAGGCATAAGGAACACAAATGGAAAACACTTAAGGAGTTTCGAAGTAGTTAGCTGATTGTTTGAACTTTGAATTGTACCAGATTTCCTTGAGATGTGTGTGTCACATTATTTTATGGTCTGCCTGGAAACATAGCTGTTTTGATGCCAAACCCCCTCATGGAAGAAGAAAGTCTTTATGTTGGCAATAAGCACTCATCAGGATCACATAAACCCTGGATTTTTACAAGTGTGTGAAGCTTGCAGTGCCATTGTTGCAGTAAACTTGCACAACGTTCTTGAATGAGTAATTTATTAGATGGACACTGGTTTGTTATTGTAGGGACATCAACTTTACATTTTCATGCCCCTAAACATGACGCGGAACAAAATTAACTGCGATTGGTTGCTTTAAATGTCAGCCAGACGTCCTCTTGGGCACTGAAAACTGTAAGAGTCCAGACCTTCTGCCGTAGGTCTGATGCACCAGGGGGCGCTATAGTTACCTTTAAGTCTATGCCGGGGGGCTAGTTCAGGGGCCAGTTGCATAAACTTAGCCTTTATTGGCGCTTTTCCACTGCTGGTACGGTTCGGCGCGGTGTGGCACGGTTTGGCTCGCTTCGCTTTTCCATTGCGTGGTACGATTCGGCTCGACACGGCATGGCTCGGTTCGCTTTAGCTCGGTTTCTTTTCCACTGCAGTTAGTACTGCTTTAAAGTGGGTGGGATAGACTGATCGATAACAGTGGCTGTTACTGGCTATTTAAATCTAGCGGGTTTGGTTTCTCGTGTCGATGTCTATTGGTCGCAAATACAATGACGCCGGTACTGACGATTCTGTCTGACCAATCAGTGATCTGCAGTGTTTCACATTTAGTACCTGTACGGTACGCTTGGAACCTCAACAGACCATGTACCATTTAAAGAGAGCCGTACTGTACCATGCATAGACAGTATAAGAAATGGACAGAGCGATCTCATTGGAACTCCATTGAGACGATTGAAGCCCGTTTTTGGCGATTTTTTTTTTTTTAATAGCATTTCCGTCCCTGACGCGCAGACTCAAACAGAGCTTGACGACGTAGATGTGACGTGAGCAACCCGTCTGTCTTCTAGTGCTGTGGCATGGTAAATCTGAATCATTCCCTTCCCCAACATGCAGAGGCGGAGAGTGTGAGTAGGAGCTGTCCATGAGCTAGGAGCGGGAGACACTTTTGCTAGGTATTCTGATTAATTATTTTGTCATTTTGCCTCCACGTTTCCCCGATTGCCCGCGAGCTTCTTCTCCTGTCCATACAGTAATCTCTCTACTGTGCGACAGAGTCGTGTGGGTATGACGCAATCGTTAGCTTACTTTCACTAAAACTGCTTCTACGGGGCCATAACATAAACTACAAGGTAATGAAGCATTTTATACATTTTCGTGTTTCTTTAGAAGTAAATAAAGGACAAATGGGGTCTTCAAACGCCTCAGATGTAAAGTTGAAAAAAGTTGCAAAGTGATGCCAAAATGAATGGGAGTCGATGGGAATTCTAACGCAAGTGAAGTTCTGCTACAAGATGGCAGCTCCCGCGAGGCTTCAACTTCCGGTGGATTACCCCCTTGGTACCGTGCAGTGGAAAAGCGCCATAGGTTAAGACTGTGTCAAGAACTAGTTTGGCCTACTAGCAGTTTAGATAAGAGGTAACTTTTCAGTCTTACTTTTCGGATTCAAGTTAGACCGCTCTACCATTTTATGTAACTGACTTAAAGGTAGAACCAGTCTTGAAGATTTTTCTTATTACTAACTTTTAAGGCTAGTCTACTGTAAGCAGTTTATGCAACCAGCCACTGGTCATTATAAACATTTTGACTTTAACCAACTTACTTAGCAAGATTCTCTTCAAACTGTTGATCCGCCATGATAGAAGCTGATCTTGCCCCTTGTGGCAACACTAAGGGCCTGGTTTACCAGCTTGCACCAGCGCAAACCTCTTTTAGCGTTTAAAAATTATTGTCAGGACTTACTAAAGACATGCAGTGAAAAATTTACGCTGAAAAGGTGTAGATACAGTTAGTTATTTTTGCGGCTGATCTTATTGCATATGGACTTTCCCTTTCAGAAACAATTTTTTTAGGGGGAGAGTATTTAAATGAATACTCAATGAATACTATTTAAATAATTTACTGGTATATGCACCATATTTCACTCCCAAAAAGCATGCTTAAACCAGACTCTAATTTGCGCTTCTCTTGGTAGATTGCAATGGACGTAATGCGAGGGAATGAGGGAGCCAGCATAGCCAGAAGCATCTGTGCTTACATGCTTGATTAAAGTGTGTTTCAGGTCTTACGGTTTGAGGTTTTGCGCTATAGTCAATCTCAAACCTTTCTCAACCATAAAACCATTTACTGAAGAATCAGAACACCTTCTAACCATTTTGCATGCATAACTTTGTCTCAATAAACACACTGGGGATTAAACATCCCCTCACAGAGGAACATATAAACAATATTTTAGATGGGTCTGCAGACCATGTGTGTACTTACCCTTTTTGATGTTAACAAGTCGGTCCAAAACCAACATAAATTTTGTTTTTCTTTTTGGTCTAAGTGGTAGGTCTGTTGTTGTGTTTTTTTTTTTTTTTTCTATCTGTGGTGGTGCCATTAGGGTGTTTACTGTCCAAACACGCTGACCACAAGGACATTAAGTCTTGGACGGCTCCCAAACGTCCTCCATCAGGTTTCTTCCCACTCTGGTCATCTTCTCTGTTTCGCTCACCCTGACCTCCACTCTCTCCTGATCTCCCACTTTTGCCTCTCTCGGTGGATATCAGTGCTCAGTGTCTCATGGGTTTCAGCTTATTTTGATGAAGCGGGCAAAAAAAGTGTTGAGTGTTTGCTGCTGGTGTCAGTTTAAAAAAGATTCATATGCTTCTCATCTGTTTCTCTGGGTGCAGTTAGGAGTGTTTTACACATTGACCCACTTTGCAGAGGAAAAGCTTGACATAGAAGGGTGTGAGCTCTCATTCTGGCGCGAGGGAATACTTTTTCCATTCTGTTCACGTACGCATGACCTACAGTTGTAAAAGTTCATCCCATGGTAGAATAAGATTCAAATTTTGAGTGCACATATGCTATGTTCGAATAGCACACTGCCATATTTCTGCACAAAATCTTGGCCCTCATTCATGAAACTTTCGTAAATATATGATTAATACATTCCAAATAATTTGCGCATTAAACAGACCTCCTCGAAACCTCTCCTATGGATTCACAAACTCTTAGTAAACATCAGATTTGATAGTTAAATGTGTGTATATTAGTGATTTCCAATAGGGAATAGGCTATATGCACAACTTACTTCCACATTCTGTAAAACAGGTCGCATCGCTTCTGGTCCAGGTCTTTTGTATGTGCTTCATGATTTTTTTTGCGGTTTTACTCAAGATCACTTTAAAGGAGCGAGCAAAGGTTTGCATAACCAATGTCCCTCACATGTGCAGATTGATATTTAAACGTTTTATATTTTTTCTTCTTCACAGTAACGTTTATATATTTAAATGGAATAAAACGCCAATAACAGAGTGAACTAGGTAGGTTAGCTGATTACCTTAAACATCCATAGATATCGTAGTCAGTTCTTACGGCCGTTAACACTTTCTCTGACAAGCGGATGCGATGAGACCTGTTTTCCGGTTTGGTCACGTGATGATCGACATAAAGCCTATTAGCATAATCCCCGCCTATGAATTACAACCACACAAATTACATGTCCAGAAATGCTGCGTAATCTTCCGGACTTCCTTTTTGGGTTTGGTTCCAGTAAATTGGATAAATGCAAAAGAGACTTTTAGGCCATATGCCTAAAAAAAATATTTAATTTACGTGTGTCCACCAAAGCGTTTTAGCCAGCTGATAAAATGCCTGGTGCTCTTCTGAAAACAGCCAGTTGGTGGCGCTTGAGAGCACTTTGGAGGCCCATCTGAAACGCTTTGACCGCTACACTGTAAAAAAAATATTTTCAAGATTTGTTATCACAACATTTTTTTCTTTTGTCAAATCAACTTAATTTATAAAGTTGAGATAACTTATTGTTTTGAGTTTCTGATGATTAATCTCCTTCATTGTATTAACTCACTTTTTCCAGTTCAATCAAAAAATTTTAAGGCATCCAGGTTACTTGCACTGTAAAAAAATATTTTCAAGATTTGTTATCACAACATTTTTTCTTTTGTCAAATCAACTTAATTTATTTAGTTCAGATAACTTATTATTTTGAGTTTCTGATGATTAAATCAATCTCCTTCATTCTATTAACTCACTTTTTCCATTTCAATCAACTTAAGGTTTTAAGGCAACCAGGTTACTTAATTTTTTAAGTTAAACCAACAATATTTTTTGTACAGTGTACTTTTTAAGTTAAACCAACAATATTTTGGAATATCCACAGCAGAAACGTTTCTGGTATCTCATTTTGAAGAAGATTTCTGAATATAAAAACACAGTAACCAGCAATATTAACTCATTGTTGTTCAGTAGGATGGATGGTCAGTGTAGTATTTGCCCCGTCACTCCTCCACTGTGATTGGACGGCTTGGTAAAAAGTGACAGTGACAAGCGCTGCATTTTTATGAACGTTTACACGTGCAATTTACACGTGTTAGGGAGCAGGCTTTCGTTCCAACTAACATTTTGAGAATCCAATTTTTTGTTGAATCCGAAAATTTACGTCAGAACTGCTTTATGAACGTTTTACACAAAAATCCGTTCTGTTAGTCTATCATGAATGAGGCCCAGTATGCGTATTGTGCATAGTTTATGCACATTTTCTGTGTTAAAAAGAATATATGTTATGTACAATTTTTTTGTTGTTGCCAAAACTTGATGAACAGCCTCTCAGATGTACAGCAGTTGTATAAAGATGTCCTTAATTTCTGATTGTGTTGATTGGACTTCATCATCCTTTCCTTATGTGAGTGCCACATGTGTTTGCATTTAAAATGAGAAAGTAAATGTAGAAGATACCGTAAGTTGGTCCTCATGTGGGATTTGGCCTAGTTCTTCATGCTTTGTAGATCTGTCTTGTTTCTAATGAGCTGCCAGACAGAAGGATTAGCCTGCAATAGCAAATATGCTTTCTTGCTATCTCTCGCTCTCTCAAACTCAATCTTTCTCCATAAAAACACCATCCCTGCTTCATTAGTCTTTATCTTCTTGCATAGTTCTCAAATTAATTATTGAGCTGTTGGTTGTTTCGGACTTTTGGTGTCTATATCAATTATGGTTAATCATTACGGTTTCAGACAGTTTTTTGATGTTTCTTTAACAATGGACACTTATTTTAGCAACTAAACTGTCTTACACACTAAAAAAGGTAGATGAAAGTTGAAACCCAGTTTTACTGTAAAAAATTCTATGTTTTTGTAAGAGTCTTGATCATGGCAGATGGATGCTATGCTGGTGATTTCCAGTCATTAATGCATAGTTCACATTCTCTTCCTCCATATTCTGAGGCGGTGTCAGTCAACTGGTTAAGTTCTGGAGTTCAACCAAGGATGAAACCTTCTTTGCATTTACCCATAGCAATTGCAGGAGAACAGTTGTTAAATTTTTCACATACCTGGTTGTCCGATGCCTGAGCAGCTGCCCTGCCTCCACCTGTTTAACCTGTGGCCTGTCATACAGTCAACCATCAGTCCATCCTTTAGCATTAGTCTTAAAATCGGCATGAAATCGAAGTTACAAGAATCTTTTCTTTCTTTTTGTGGCATACAGTGCTTAGCACAAGTGAACACAGGACACCCATGCTAAAGTTGCCTAAAAAGAGGAATAGAAAATCAACTTTTGGAAATTTATCTTAATGCCTTAATTTAAAAAAAGAGGAAAACTCCATCCGTTAAGGACACCAATTTTCCAATTTTCTTTGTGAATGAATAATTTATTGTAAATAAATAAACATTCTTCCTTAGTCAGGACACCCCTATGCTAAATTCCCATAGAGGCAGGCAGATTTTTATTTTTAAAGTATAATGAATCCTGATAAAGTTACCTTTGCCTTTGGAATAGGGCAGAACATTTATTTATTTATTACTTTTGAGTAAAGTCTATATTACAGTATCTTGGAATTGCATCTGTTCGTGTCATTGAGATGTTTCTATTAACTCTATTGAGGCTTGGTAGCTCAACACTCTCCACTCACCACCAGTAAACTTTACGACATAGCTTTTAATGCTCAGTGAATCATTGCTGAGTGGGTGAGGCTAACCTGAGGTCAGTTCTGAGCTTGGGTGAGTGGACACTATTCCCATAGTAATGCGGATTGATGAAGTGTCAGCGAAAGCATGGCCTTGTTCATATTTGTCGCTGTGTCGTCTATTCATTTCTGTACATTTGGTGACCCTGAGGTGAAGAGTCACACCTCCTCCACACAATGACCCCACAGGCTGGCCTCGACGCTCGGGGAATTCTCGCGTGGAGCGGTTGCCTCCTGGGAATCCCTGGACTTCTGGCTTGAGGAGCGAGAAAGGGCGGAAAGAACAAAGAAGTTTGAACAAAAGGAGAGCTCTGTCATACAGTGGGAATTCATTATACTTGTCCTCCTTTTTTACTGGGTCAGTGAGCTCACGAAACAGTGAGCACAAAGCACATCATGGCCACGAACTCTGTTTTTTGGGAGTACTTACAAGCTTACGTTCTTATATCTACAGTATGTGAGAAGATATAATCCATGCACGGATTAGCACTCCTTCCAACAGAAGTTTTTCCCCTTCATCTCTCATTTTTTGTTGAAAGATAAAAGTTGCGGTAACACTTTACAATAAGTTTCATCTGTTAAAGTAACTAACAATGAAAACAAAACATTTGTTACAGTATTTATTAATCTATGTTGATGTTAGTTAATAAAAATACAGCTGTTCATTGTTTGTTCATGTTAGTTAACAGTGCATTAACTACTCTTAACCAATACAACATTTGATTTTAATAACGTATTACTACATGTTTAAATTAATATTAACTAATATTAGTAAATGCTGAAGAAGTATTGTTCATTCTTAGTACGTTATCTAAGGTAGTTAACTAATGAGCCATATAAAGTGTTATCGAAGTTGCATACAGTAGTTTCGTGAGCAGAAAGGATAGTTTTACAGGAGGCAATGCAAAACAAATTTGAGTTTGCAATCATTTTAATAATTTTATCATTTTAAAGTGTGTGTCTGCAGGTAATAATGTGCATAAGAAATGCCTAGATATCTCCATATAAAAGATTTGTACACTGTCTCTCCTGTAAGCCACTATTCTATTTGAAACACTTTATTTATTTATTTATTTATTTATCTGAAATAAGACTTATACACCTGGTTTCAAATACAATGCATAAACCTTAGTCCAAGACTAAACTGCATGTTTGAGCTGTTTTAACTAAAACAAACTTGCACCGACATATCACTGACATAAAATATGCAAGTGCCATTGTTTTGTGTTTTTTTTTCTTTCTAAGGCACATTTATAAAAGCTTAAATGCCCTAATTGAACTAAGGCCTAATCCTGGCTTAATCTAAGCCTTATATGAAACCTGACCATAGGGTCACTTATTTTCACTTATATTTTCTTTAATAATATCTATGAAAATATTTCTGTTTCAAAGGCCGTTGAAAGTATTTGATTGTTGAGCATATGTGGTTTCAATAGAATTTTCTCCTAGATTTAAATAAATTCAAGTGCAAACATAAAGCATTGTGATTTCTTACACATACACACACACACACACTTCAAGATGAACAGCTTAAAATACTCACATATTTTCAAAATTAGATGCATGTCATCAAACAAAGCAACAAATTGAATTTTAAATTTTTAAATAAATAAAAAATTGAAATAGAAACTAAACAAATCAAAATAAAAACTAAACAAAAATTTTTTGGCTTTGATGCGCAGCAAGACTTTCACTTTCAGTATGTGCAGAAACATCACTTGATGCAGGAAACTTGTCCTGAACCGAATACACAGAATGAGTGTGTGGCTTGTTTGCTAATCTTTTCCCTGCGCTGTCAGGCCATCATGGTGGTCCTGTTGATAACCACAGTGGTTTGTGGTAAAAGCGTGCCCAAACCCGCACCAGTACAACATGCCCTCAGTATTTAGTGGCGGATTATGATCAAAATCATTTAAGCATGACACTGAAAGGCAGATATACAGTAGATTATTCTCATAGTTTATCTCACACTTGTAGTTTATATAACCAGCACACACACGCATCCTAGCCGCGATGGAACATTCCACGATTCTCTCTTTTTTCTTTCTATAGATGCAGGAGTTGGAACAGAGAGTGATAGAGGCTGACCAGCGGGCAGAGAACGCGGAAAAACAGGTATTGCTCTTGTACCACCTTTTTCTTATTTTTTAGAAGTTACTATTTAGGGATTTTTTATTATTATTGTATAATTTCATTCAGTGTGCCATATAATAAATAAATCACACATTGAAATGAAAAATATTTTTCAAAACACAATATGTTTGTGTTGAAACAACCTTTGCTAGCAAATATTATAAAGTCAGTAGTCAAAAGTTGTTGTTTTTTTTCGGAAGATGTACAATGCATTTTAGAAAAATAAAACTAGATAGATAATACAAAACTATATTCATTTTAAATAGTTGGATTTAAATAGTCATGTTATTTATTTTTTTAATTAATAAATCATGGGAGCACAAATTATACTCTTTATTGAAAATGATCTAACTTTTTATTATTATTTAAATAACATAATGATAATTACACTAGTGGATAAAATGACATCTTCCCCCTTAATTCAGATATTATTAAAAAATTGTAAGCACGTTGCATGTTTATGCTTGGCATCAGTCGTTTTATTTGTGATAACTCAATGAAACATGACAAATTGTTCAGACTTTTTTTGATTAGCTGTCATAGAAAGAAATCACGAACACATGCTGTAGTCGATCACGTATGCTTTTTTTCTGTGAGCTCTGAGCCTTTATTTTTTTGCATGCTAAAATAAAACCCCATGGCTGTAGTTTCCCAGATAAACACCTTCACCAATCTTAGTGTATTGCTCTTCCCTCCCACTTAAAATTTTTGAAACCTATAAAATATTTCCCTCATATTTTGATTTTTTTATCAAACTTGTATGGTCAATAAAAACAAATATCCCCTCCAGGCATCACTTTTGACCACTACTGAACCCTTTTCTCTTTGAGAACTTAATCAAAATTACCATTATAGGTCCACATTATGGAGGAGAAACTGAAGTCTGCAAACATGCAGCCCAGCGAATCGGAAAACTCCTTGTACAGGCGTTATCAAGAGTTGAGCAGTCAAACGCAGGAGAAAGATATGATCATAAAGAGTCTCGAAGGACAGCTGGAGAAGCAGGTACAGAGATGGCCATTAAACTCTCACATAAGGACTGAAGCGTTGCTCAACTTGCACTCTTTATTTGCAGAACTTGGTTCGAGCCCAAGAGGCCAAGATTATTGAAGAGAAGGCTGCCAAAATCAAAGACTGGGTCACGTTTAAGTTGCGAGAGGTGAGTTGAAACATGGAAGTGCACTGGATACATTTTAATATTTTTTTTTTTGTTGTTGTTGAAACAGTGTCCTTTGGGGATTTTTTTTTTTTGTGTCTTGTAGATGGAAACAGAAAACCAGCAGTTGAAAAAGGCAAACCTGAAGCAGGCTGAGCAGATCCTCATACTGCAAGACAAGCTTCAGAGTAAATATAGCTCCTTTCCTGTTTTCTTTCCTTATAGACCTTATGCACCAAAGAAACGGGGTCGCCGTCATCTTTAGAATATTGTCTTTGAACTTCCGGTTTTGCGGTCGCTCTGTATATCTCTATGGCATCGCTGTCGAGGAGTAATTAGCTGGTGAAGTGGATTTACTTATTGTAGAGTTAACAAAAGTTATCATGAGCATTGTAAAGCAGATGTCTAAACAAATGTCAACCGGGAAATTATTTTTTACGAGCAGTTCATTCATACCTATGCAAGATCGCTGTCAAAAAACAATGAGCGCAACGCTGAAAAGGGGCGGGGCTACATAAGGTCTATAGCATTTGTTTTTGCTTGGTTTGTACACCTCTCGCTGTGTTTCTATCAGCTCTTCTCGAGAGGCCCTTGTCTCCAGCAGTGGATGTCCACCTGGTCCCCTCCAGCCCACTCCACCCTCCCAGCTGCCCCGGGACACCCCCTGCCCAAGAGGAGGGCTGGAGATTGACAGGATCTCGCATAGCCAATTCTACAGGTACATAATCATCCTCTACCTTCAGAAGGTTTGCAGCTCTTTCTAATGTTGTTGAACAGAAATGGATATCACATTCGGAACAGAACTTGGTGTAACTGTTGATTTAAAGTAACTTTATTTTACTTTTTTTTTTTGTAAGTCCATTAGACAAGGTTACTTGCGTTAGTTTTACATCACCATTTTCTGCCCTCAAAATTAACCAAGATGTTTTTGAGACTGTACCTTTGAGATTTCTATGTAGAGTTGACCTCTTTTGTAATTATTTTTTGCTATTTACTGTATTCCATATTACAACGTGTTCTAACCAGAAGTGATAAGGAATAAGATTCCAATAACAAGTAACCAATCAGAAGAGCATGTGGGTGGAGTCTCTCACATAAGTACATAATCATAAGTACATAATAAGTACATTTAACATTATTAAAAATCCATACTGAGTGACTGAAACAATCTTTGTAATAGAATACACTTTTTTTTTTGTTCACATTAAGTTGAGTCCAAGATCTGAGGTGAATTATTCATTGTTGCTTTCTCACATAAGATGCTTTTAACATCAAATAAAGCACTAAAATAGTACCAGGGACTATAATTGTCATACTTTCTATGTTGTTGTCCTAGCCACGACGCTGCATCAATAAAAAAAAATCTAAAATAGAATTGTCACCATTTGCCATAATGGCTGGTTTGGGCTAAAACTCTGATTAACATGGAAAATAGATTTTTTTTTTTTTTCACGCATCGTGGCGCATTTCGTTAGGCCACGACAATAGTGTAACGATTTTTTGTATAAATCCACGATGAGTTATCCATAAATTATCTGTCAACTAGGGATGTTGTTTTGTTAATGTTATTGTTATCAAGATTTTATAAAAATAATAATGAAATTATGGACCTTATAATATGACAAAATATGAATTTGAATTGGGTAAATGTAATAAAAAACAAAAATTAGAATGTATATTTTTCACAATGAAGCGCATCCACACTTCTGACATTTACTTGTTGTTGCTCATTGTGTGCTAATTAAATGTCATGCTTCCGTCAACGATTTTGGCCTTCCAAAACTATTTCACCCAAAATCTAATATTTTTGGTTTGGTCGGATGTTTAAATTTGTATCTAAATATACATTAATATCTGTTTCAAATTTCAGAAAGCAAAAGGAAAATCACAGAGGGTTGTGATTCTGCTTTTCATAGTGCATCCTTACTTCCAACATTACAAGACAAAGGAGACTCTCATAAGTCTAGTCAAGATGGTGTTGACACCACAACCTCGGGAAAGGAGACTGGAGAGGGGGCGGAGCCTTCTTTTGGAGTGCCATGTGAGAGAGAAGTGGGAGGAGCCTCAGACAGAGATCACTCTTCTGATGAGCTCAACAGCAAATTTCGTTCCCAGCGCCTCCGCTCATCTTCCTCATCCTCTTCCTCGTCCACTTCAGCGTATGAGACTCCTGGCCCTCCTCCTGTGTCCCTCTCACCCCCATTAGTACGCCTCCCTCTGTTGTGCCCCTTCCCTCTGGCTTTACCCTTGGGCACCAGCATGACCCTGCCCAAAGTTCGCACTCCTCTAACCCCCCGTGACAGCATCCAACTTGTGAAGAAACACCACAGTCAGCCGCAACCCGGCATAGAGCGCCTCCATCAGGTCAACGTCAACATTGATATCGGAAGCTGCACCTCTCCATCCTGCAACAGTCTGGCCCCGGGTTCAGTTCCCACACATGGGTTAGAAGAGACGGACATTGATGAAGGGCAGCCTGAGCGAATGGAGGGATTGGTGGAGGGGTCAGAGATGGATGCTCAGGCTACTGATGGAGGCTTATTCCAAGGGTTGGCTAAAGAGTTTGAGATGATGGACCCAGAAGCTCTTAAACCGCCTACACCACCTCTGCACCGATTTCCCTCTTGGGTAAGACAGGAAAAATGCCCTCAAATTGTGCAGCTTGTTAAAGAAAAATGTGTTATACAGTAAGTTGCGAATTGCAAGTGACAGCTTAGAGCTTATTTACATTACAAATAGGCTAAGTTGCAGCTTGCTATTAAATTTATTAAAATACTACATTTTTGTAATCTTATTATAAACTTAACATTTCAAATGTAACCTGACCTATAAACAAAAATAATTCACTACAAAATATATATTTCAATTCATTTTCTTGTATATTTTATTAGTATTTATTTATTGATCCTAACTGTTTTTAAAAGTTTTATTATTTACATATGCAAGTATACTATTCAGACAATAATGCAATTTTTCATATATAAAAACTTTTATGCTTACACAGGCTGCGTTTATTTGATCAAAAAGTCTGTAAAAACAGATTTTAAAACAAAAATATTATTTACAATATTATTGTGTATATATATATATATATATATATATTGTATATTGTATTATATATGTAATATTATTACAATCTAAAATATTTTACTTCAATATATTTTAAAATGAAATGTATTCCTGTGATCAAAGCTGAATTTTCAGCATCATTACTCCAGTCTTCAGTGTCACATGATCCTTCAGAAATCATTCTAATATGAGGATTTGCTGCTCAAGATTATTACCAGAGTTAAAAACAGTTGTGCTGCTTAAAATTTTTGTGCAAACTCCCTTTTTTTTGAAGTAGAAGTCTATTGAGATATTATAAATGTCTTTACTGTCACTATTGAGCAGTTAAATGCATCCGTGATGAACAAAAGCATTCTTTTTTCTTTATTTTTTTTATCTTTTATTTGAATTGAACCCAAACATCTGAACGGTAATGTAACTATAATAGATTTCATGATCCATTAATATATAGAAGCACTGAACTAATAGTGCAATCAAATTAAGCATAATTAATTAAGAGCAAGTTCCAAAGTAAGTATATTTACTAAGCTGGTAAAGTTACTTTAAACGGTTGGTGCAACCCTACCTAGAATGCTTGGGGTGGGCTTTTGGGGCTCTTTTGATTTTGGACCAAGTATTTTAGCAACCACCCACATCACCCTAACACTATAGTGGCAAATTTTATATGGTATGATTAATGTTTGACACCTCTATTCGCATGTATCTGTGTGTGTTTTTCAGGAGAGCCGGATCTATGCGGTAGCTAAATCAGGAATGAGAGTCTCAGAGGCCTGCCTTGGAGTCAAGACTCTTGGGAGAGGTCAGTCAACCAATCAGCAGTCATCACGATCACTCAGTTTAGGTCTGTCACCAGCACTTGTTATAACACTATATGAACACATGCCCTTAGATCTGTCAATTAGAGGTAAGGACTTGTTTGATGTCACTTCCTCTTACCTAACGGGAACACACCTGTGCAGGTGTGATCTCCATGCTTTGAATCTTCTAAGAGGCTGAGAATGAGAATCTCCTGAGGGTGAGAATGATAACCCTGCTTTTTAATATGCTGTGATGAAAGGTTAAAACCGCTGTGTAATTACCTAAGGGAGTATTTCACTTCTCCACCTCAACTCTACACAACTGTATATTGAAGTCTGATCAGACGTTTGGTTTTATTTCTTAGGCCACATACTCGGTGGAAAGATTTGGGAGTGACAGTTGCATCTAACCCTTAGAAGTAAAACAACAAGGACATTCCTGGAAGTTTATTGAAAATAGCTTTTTAAAATTGTAATAATTTTTGGCCAATTAAATGCAGAAAAACATCCAAAGAAATCTCACCGACCACAAACTTTTGAACAGTAGTCAATTCAATTCAAAAGCAAATTAAAGGGATGGTTCACCCCCAAAATGAAATGTGTCATCATTTACTCACCCTCAAGTTGTTCCAAACCTGTATACATTTCTTTGTTCTGCTGAACACAAAGGAAGATTTTTTTCTCTTCCATAATATGGAAGTCAATGGTGCCCCGCAACTGTGGTAACAAACATTCTTCAAAATATTTTCCTTTGTGTTCAGCAGAACAAAGAGATTTATACAGGTTTGGAACAACTTGAGGCCGAGTACATGATGACAGTATTTTTGTAGTTTTGTGTGAACTGTCCCTTTAAATGTACAAACAAACACCATATTTGGCTGTTTCACTGATGTCTGTAAATGAAATGGCCATATGAAATTATATTGAAGTGCCCACCCAGGCCTTATGAATTTTTTACAACTTTGCAGATTTTATGTAAGTGCCTAAGTGTTGTTTGTTTGTGTCTCCAGTATCCACCCAAACTCAGCACTCGACAACTGGCCCCTTCACCCACCTCATTTACAAGAACATCAGTGTGCCTGTGTACTCCACATTTAAAGGGGTAAGATTACATCAATATGATACTTAAAGCTGCAGTCCATAACTTTTATTTGAGAAAATACATAACCAGCCAGTGTCTGCTTGCCTTACCTCGATTCAAAACGGTAAGCTTGTAATAATGTTTTTAATTCCAGTGGTGCTGGTGGTTTTCTGCGGGAGATTCGAGCATGACTTTACGTCGTTACGTCACATCTGTTCACATAAAGGAGGAGTCTCGGCTAGTATAAGCTATTGGGTGTGAGAATGTTGGAGCGGGAGATTTATAGCCTTTTCTCACAGCACTTGATATAATTAAACTTATCAATTTGATGGCGGATCCAGAAAGGTTCAAATGACAATCACCAGTGATAACAGATTCACCCGTTGTAAAATGCAAAACACTTCGTTCGGACATCTAGTCACAATGCTGACGTTGTTATTTTTAACAATTTGAGAACAAAGTATAATTTGCACTGTTTTGGTGATATGATAAGTGATTTCTAGATTTAATCAGCATGATTTACTTCAATATCAGAACCAGAACAAAAGTGGATCTTACTTGCATGTTTAGATGACATTTTCCGGTGAAAATTTTTATGTTGGTCATACTTCCAAAAGTAATAATTTAAACTTTTATTTTTTATTAGTTTATATAGATTTTAGTAAAACACAAAAGAACAGAACAAACAGGTCACTAAGGGTGTAACATACAATTATGTTATACACAAACTTTCAGTAACATTATGTTAATATCAAATCAGGGGTTCCCTTTTCCTCCCCATTCCCCCTCCCCTTTCTTTCCTTTATAATAACATCAGGGGAATAATTATAATTGTCCTTTCAAGTCAATAAAAGGTTCAAGGTCCCATCATACAACATACAATCCAGAATATTTTCATTGGGTAAGTATTGTACATCTGAAGAAAAAATGTTCTCAATATAGTATTACCAATCAAATGTAAATGAGGAAATAATTAAAATAAAAAGAAAGAGGAAATAAAAAAAAAAGCTCAATCCCTACCCATATACCTTGGCCACTTTGACCAGTACTTTTTAAAATGTATCCATGTTCAATCGTAAAGAGAAGGTCGGCTTTTCAATAATCTGTGATTCTGAATGGCAGTATCCACACCGGCCCGGCGACTGACAGACGCATACTCTCCTCAAACGCTGTGTTCATCCACGCTGTGCCATGCCTCACGTAAAGTTGATAATTGCGCGAATGACTGCAATTGCAGATTTCGAACAGAGATGGCGACAAAGAGGAAAAACCCCGGACTGCAGCTTAAACTCGTTATTATATTACCAGTGTCATGCTAAAGTATTATTGTACATAACAGATCAAATTTACTTGTCTTCTCATCATTCCCAAAATGTTTTCTGCCCTTAGAAGGCAACTCAGATCAGCAATGTCCCTCTCCCGGATGATGACTCTGGTTCAGAAGACGACAGCAGCTCATTGGCCAGCTTGCACACGTCCACACTGGGGCCAGATAAAAAGGGCAGTACCCCTGGCAGCCCTCGGGCTGTCAAAAGAGGTGAGGAAATCTGTAAAACAACTTTATGACTAGGGATGGGCAACGATTAATCGTGATTAATCGCATCCAAAATAAAAGTTTGTGTTTACATGATATGTGTGTGTGGTGTGTATAATTATTTTGTATATATAAATACTAACACATGCATGTGTATATTTAAGAAAAATGTGTTCTTAATATATCAAATATTTATATTTATACATAATATTAATTATGTATAAATATATATATAAAGTACATACATGCAAATATTTCTTAAATATATACATGCATGTGTGTGTATTTATATATACAAAATAATTATACACACCACGCACACATATATTACGTAAACACAAACTTTTATTTTGGATGCGATTAATCGTTGCCCATCCCTATTTATGACCTTCGAAATATTTGTATTTAACTTCTGAACCAGTTTCCTCTGTAATTTGTGAATAATACAAGTGTGTAGCATTAAAATAATTCAAAGTCTGACCCAGGATCAACTCTTAAACCGTTTGACGTCTTTTGTCCTGCAGGTGTTTCTATGTCCTCCATCAGTTCAGAGAGTGACTATGCCATTCCTCCGGATGCGTACTCGCTGGACAGCGACTGCTCAGAACCCGAGCACAAGGTTCAGCGCACCTCCTCCTACTCCTGTGAGAGTGTCGGGCAGGTACATCTCCATATTGTCTTCTCCTCTACGCTACCATTAAAAAATGTGGGATTATTGTATGCTTTTTTTGAATGAAATACTGCAGAAGCTCTCTATATGCATCACAAGTGTCCAAATCTTGCTTTTAGTTCACACATTTTTGTGTTTCTTCTTTTGAGATGGAAAATTTACAGGCCCTTGTTTCAGTTCTATAGACCCTCCAGTCACTTGTCTGAAAACTATGATTATTTATGTTGAAAATGGTGATTCTTTGATGAATCGAAAGGTTCAAAAGAACAGCATTTGCTGGAAATAAAAATCTTTTGTAGCATTATAAATTATTTTTTGTTGTCAATAAAATGTGTCCTTGCTGAATAAAAGTATTAATAGAAATTTTTTAAAAGTATGAAAAAATTACTGATACCAAACCTTTCAATGTTTCGGCATATATTCATATATTTTAGTACATACACTCTAAAAAATGCTGGGTTGTTTCAACCCAATTTTGGGTCAAATATGGACAAACCCAGCCATTGGGTTACATTTTTGAATTACATTTTTAACCCAATGTTTGAGTTTGTCGCCTTGCTTTTGGCTTGCTCAGTTGGGGTTATTTAGTGTTTAGCAATATTATTGATCTGTGTTGTACTACTTTCATGTTACCACTGTGAAGCTGCTTTGATACAATCTGTATTGTGAAAAGCGCTATATAAATGTGACTTGACTTGACTTGACTTTGTCCATATTTGACCCAAAATTGGACAATTGTGAGTGTGTTAGGCAATCTTTTCTTATGTTTTAGTTTCTGCTATACCTCCAGAAAACTGTCTGTTAGCATTCCCATTCACCTCCATCCTAATCTAGTAACATCGATAGAAGTTACTTGTAGTAGAAGTAGAAAACAGCTTGTCCATGGTTAAATGTTTTCAATGTGTCTTCCTATATAGGAGACTCTAGAAAAGACAGGTTACTTGCTGAAAATGGGCAGTCAGGTGAAGGCATGGAAGAGGCGCTGGTTCATTCTGAAGAACGGGGAGATCTTGTACTACAAGTCGCCGGTGAGTAGACTTTTCCAGAACTCTGCGGCGGTGTTCGAGAGAGAGAGAGAGTGAGGGGAAGGAAGTTTAGAGTTACAGCGCTGATGATATCTGGCTTCGCTCTGTTCTCAGAGTGACGTGATCCGGAAACCTCAAGGCCAAATGGAGCTGAACTCCTCGTGTCATATAGCCCGCGGAGAGGGAGCTCAGACATTCCAGGTGAGAGACACACTGATACACCTAAACAGCCTTTAACAAATCTGTCAGCCTGAGGCTTTCAGAAACAGCCTGATATGGGTATCACATGAGCATCACATGAGCTTCGCTTGCGTTTTGAGGGAATGAACAGCTCTCAACTGCTGTCATTATTGGATTTTCAAAGTCATAATAATAGCAGTAATTGGGTATTATCTATAATTTCCTCAAACTTTAATCCGTTTCATCACATCTGTTATAATTTCGGAGGAACTGATGATCATAATGGTTAAATATCTTGTAGAATATCATGTGGGCAAGTTTTTGTTACCACATTAATTGGAATAAATATTACAATTCCTTCCATGATGGGCAAGATTATTCAGAATCTTCACATACCATGTTTTTTATATACATAAATATATAGGCTGCTGTCACTTTAAGACATAATGCATGGGTCAGATATACTGGGACTGTTACACATGCATTTTCTTTCTCCACTGTTAATGTTCACTTACTTACTATGTTTACTAGGATACCCGCCAAGACACGCTTCGGATGTGACTAACTCAATCACAGGCGACTGAAATCATACAATTTACTAGTCATTGGCTAATTAAAGACATTTTTAGTCCCCTAGCGTGAAATTTGGTTTCATATGCGAGTGATTCAATCAGATTGTAGATTGTTGTTTGTTGAATATCATAAAATGTCTTGTTGAATTCATTGTTGGACATCTATTTTACTGTTGTTAAATGACTTTGAATACCTTTTACTGGACACTTCATGATGAAAGTTCTATTAAGTGAAGATTAGGGATGGACATATCAGATATCAGCTATGGGCCACTAAAATAACTATCCGCTTATCTGAATCAGACAGAATTTTAATATCAGTGCCTCCCTCCATAACTAGTTTTGTTGGCTAAGTCTCTGTCAGTCTTTTTCTCATGTGCGTGTTGTGTCTAGTTGATTACAGAGAAGAAGACCTTTTTCTTGGCTGCAGACTCTCCAAATATCCTGGAGGACTGGATCCGAGTTCTCCAGAATGTTCTCAAGGTCCAGGCCAGTGGACCGGTGTCCATGGATAAAGATTTCAAGGCCACTGTGCGAGGCTGGCTAACTAAGGTAAGAGTTCACTGGAATATAGAGGTTTTGAGTGAGAGAACGATTGAGGAAAGTGTTTGAACAGTATATCTACATATAAATGCATCTTTTCATCACATAACAGTAAGAATTTTGACATGTATAAAGCAACTAGGTGATGATGATTAAAGGAGGAATGAGCTGGTGAGCGTGAGGATTGCGGGGTGAGATTCCTGGATGGCTAATGCATGATGGGACAGAGCTAAGGTCATCAGGCCTGGAATGTATCTGATAGGGAGTCCCTGATCACAGACTCTGCATATCTGTGTTGATAGACAGGTCAACTTGTAATTAAAGTCAGCATGAAACAGAAGTTAGTCTTTTCTTCTCTGTTGTGATGTTTATCTGAGTGTGAAATGGCTTCTTGAACGAGAAGAAAGTAAGGCGGGACTTGATTTTGTCTTCCTTTGGGAATTAATTGCATGGTTAGATGGTTGTGGTTTTCTATTACTGTGATGTCATGTGAGTGACAGGTTGGCCCTGTCCTCGCGCCAGTAAACATCATCAATGAAGAGAAGAGATGAACTGCAAGAGGGAGGGGAAGATATATTTTGAATAAATAATAGTGATGTGCACTAATAAAATATTTATAATAAATACTCAAATATTTCATAAAATTGTCATTTTGTTTTCATTGTGACTTTAATGCTTTTTCTGTATGTATCTGTGCGTGTGTTTTGATTTTTTTTTTTTTTTTATTTTTTTTCCAAGATGTCAAATCGTTATGTTGTGCATGGTTTTTCCATTTGAATGCATGTGATTTGACCATACATTTTCAGTTTGATGAATGAACCACAGATTTGATCTATTGTTTCTTTCACTTATTCCTTCTCTCTCCATTTTTCGGATGGTGTTTTTCATTTTACTACAGGTGAAACATGGTCATTCAAAACTTGTTTGGTGTGCTTTGATTGGGAAAGTCTTCTACTACTACCGTAACCTGGATGACAAGGTAGATTCTTTTAGCTTCCTTAAATTCAGAAAAACTGAGGGATTTTTTTTCTGTTAGTAGCTCTGCAACGTTTTCCTTAAAGCTGAAGTGTGTAATGTTGATGTTAAAATAATTTTTTTTAAAAATGATTCGGGTAATTTGTAAATACATTTTTGCAAATGCTGCTATTGTATGTTGTGATCAAATATGTGTTTGTCGCAGTTCCCACTGGGTCAGCTCCGTGTTCGGGAAGCGCGTGTGGAAGAAGTGGATAGATCGTGTGATTCGGACGAAGATTATGAAGCAGGTGGGCGGGGCTTCCTCTCCTCTCACTTTACGTTAGTGGTCCATCCTAAAGAGCAAAGCCCTACCTACCTGCTTGTCGGCACTAAACAAGAAAAGGTACCACTTACACAACACCATTAGATTTGCCGTTTGTAAATGAGTTTATTAATATGCAAATCAATTTTCTGTAAAGATATGTGATTACAAGTGTTGGGGAACTACCTTACTGAAGCTTGTTAAGCTACAAAGTCTCAACATTTAAGACACAACTACAACCATATATAAAACCAGAAAATATTTTGGGTTCAGTAAGATTTTGTAATGTTTTTGAAAGGTCTCTTTTCAAGGCTACACTGATGTGATAAAAATACTGTAAAACAATACAATTTTGAAATATTATTAGAGTTTAAAACAGCTGTTTTCTATTTTGAATATATTTCAAAATGTTATTTATTCCTGTGATGGCAAAGCTGAATTTTCAGCATCATTATTCCAGTAGTCAGTGTCACAAGATCCTTCAGAAATATCTCCACAGTGCTTAATATTTTTTATGAAAACAGTGATGCATTTTCTTCAGGATTCTTTAATGAATTATGAATTTCGATTCATTTATATTTTGAATTAGCTTGTTTTGTTTTTTTGTTTTGTTTTTTAATTTTCAGTGTGCGTTTTAATTTTAGTCATTTTTTTATTTGCTATTATTTGCACTTTCTAGGAAAATTCCTAGTAGGAAGTTTCGAAAAAGCAATCCTAACTACAAAAAACTATGAAAGCAATCTGCTCGAATTCGTTTTCGACTACCTCTAGAAGTGGTAGAAATTGGGCAAGCTCAAAACGTTTTAGACCACATTTACACCAGTATTTAGCGTTGTCCACTTGTGATCGGATTGATGAAAAACTTACACGTAAACTTAAAAAACTTAAGTGGAAATCAGAAATGTTGCCTTGGCAACCAACTGATATGAAATAAGTGTAAATGTGGTCTAAAAGGTTTTGAGCTTGCCCAATTTCGACCACTTCTAGAGGTAGTCGAAAACGCATAGTTAGGATTGCCTTTTCGTTATCTCCTTCTAGGAATTTTCTAAGTAGGAAATTATTGCCATTTTTTGCCATTACTTGGAAAATTGGACATATACTCCCTCTCAAATCGAATTTCCTACGAGGACATCTGAGTTTACTAGTATGAAATATGATTTGAGAGAGAGTTTGTCCAATTTCATGAGTTTCAATTTCATGCTCATGTGGTCGAATGTGTTCAAATAGTCACAAAAAAACGCCTACTCTCCACCTACTTACCTAATGCTTACACATTATGGGAAGCGCGCTAGCCAGACGGATTTTAAATTTTGGTTTGAAGACGAAAAAACGCACCAAGCATGTTCTCAAACCATTCTCTAACCCTCAAAGAAATCAGGACAGAAGTGGTTGAAAGTGGACAAAACATACGGATTAAAACAGCAGGTGTAATTGGGAATGTGTCTCTCTCGGGTCTACTTGTGATCCAATCGACCAAAACGAATCAAATCTTAATACCAGGTGTAAACAGGGCCTCGGTTTCTTGCTGTCTTTCTCACAGGACACCTGGCTGTACCACCTGACTGTCGCGGCGGGCAGTTGTGCCAGCCTGAGGGTGGGCACCGAGTACGAGCAGCTGATTGGCAAGCTGTTGGATGTCGATGGAGACCCAGGTCAGAGGTTACTTTTAAATATCTACTTCTATAACAAGTACAACTGCTTCTCAAGTCACACGACAGACTGCATGGTTTTAGGATGGACCGATAGAATGACTCCATCTAGACCCCAGACAGTGTTTACGACCAGTTCGGATGGCAGCTGTTGTGTTTTTCAATCTGTGTTTGTGTGTTGATGTGTGCAGACTCTGCTCACTGGAAACGTGAAGTGCTGTGCTTCAGTAAGGAGGGTCTGCGCTACCCCCTCACCACGCTGCCCTCCGAGGCACTTCAAACCGAAGCTCTCAAGCTCTTTAAGGTGAACACTCTCATCGGTGTCTTCTCTTACTGTCTCAGCGTTTTCTACTTTATTCACATTCACACAAACGCTCAAGTGTTGATGTCCTCTTGTTGTCTTTATCTCCCTTGAAGAATCACTCCCATCTCTCAAACACTTCTAAGTTGTCCTCATCCTCCTCTCTTGAGAGGTGATGGTGCCGTCCTGTCCCTACTGTGGACTCCCACAGTAGGATCAAAGGCAGTGACGGGAGGCCTTGTGCTCATTATAGCACTGGAGATAAAGGCTCTGATTGACATAAAACTTCTCTGCGGTGTAGTCATGTTGGGGAAGCTGCTTTGAAACTATAGTTTAACAAGATACAAGCACGTTCGTTCAATTCATGTTAATGAATTCAAATGAATCTCATTTTGAGTCTGAACACGAATGAACTCTACAAACAAGCCTTCTCAATTTAAAAAATAATTTTACAAATCAGGTATTTTATATAAATGGTCATCTGCTGACCGACTAAACGAGAGAAGGCATTTTTTCGTTTGTTCAATTCGTCATGCGAGTCTCATTCACAACAATTAGAGAAACGTGGTGTAAGAATTATGAATGTATAAAAATGTCCATTGATACAATTAAAATGACTTAATGTCATAATCTGTTATTTTAGGATAATTTATATACTATTTTGGATTGGCTTTAATTTATATATTTTCAGTTTTAATTTTAGTTTGTTTCAGTAATTTTGTTATGTGGTTAATATTTTTATTTAGCTTTAATTGCCTTTGTATTTTAGTTTTAGTACTTAAACTTAAAACATTTTGAAATGTTGATTTGGTAGCTATCTGAGATCAAATACGCTATCTAATATTTATTTTTCATATTATTTCAGCTTTATTTCAATTAACAAAAATGAATTGTAATAGTTTGTTTTTGTAACCAGGAACAACACTGCTCATAATGTATTTAGATTATTACATTTTCCATATCATAATAAAAAATAATCCTCAGCAGTTTGCAAAACACGAAAAACTGCTCTGTTGTCACTTGTGGGCGAAACACTTTCTTAGTGGATTTTAATAAATGATATGATTTTTTTGGTTGTGAATAACTTAATGATTCAGTTGAGTGAATGATTCAGTGACTCATCATGGCACTTAACCTGCAGAAAGAGTCACTAAACGTATCAATGAATGAATTAATCATTTTGTTAAATCGATTAAAAAGACTTGAGTCTCAAGGATGAATCAAAATCATTACCTCAGAGTATGCAAGAGTGCAACGTAATATACTCACTAATTGTCCCTCAGATCACTCATGTTTAAAGCTATGTGTTTTGCTACTGTTATTCATAATGCAGAAAAACATAGTTAGTATAGTTCCTCCTCAGCAGTGTCTCTCAGCACTTTGTGTGGGAAATGGCACTAGCCCTGTAACGTCTCATTTTGAGGACAGGCCTAAACATTTCATTTTGAGTTCAAAGAGGATCGCTGACAGTGTTTGGAGCGATAGTCTCTTTCCAGTTGCTCGTGGTTTCTCCCCAGGCTCCCGTTTTCAATTGAGAACCCTGTTCTCCTGAGGTTTACAGACATTAGGCCCTATTGACAGTTCAATGGCGTATCCTCGAGAGCTAGCATCATACGCAGCCCTCGGTGCTCTTTGAAGATCAGAGGCACTATTTAGGTAGTCATTTGAGACTGAAAGAAAATGCCTCCCACTCTGAAGTAATGAATGGGGGGTCGACAGCTACATCCTGACTTGATTTAATTTGCATTGTAAGAATTTCTGTAAGAACAGAAACGGAATGTTAATAAGAAAGTAAAGCATGTTGTTGGATGCGCTGACTGCTGCAGCTGTGTGTGGTGGTGTGTTGTGTTCGCCATCTGCTGGTCGCTCTGTAGTGCCATACATCCCAATCTCAATTGGCCTTTTAGGTTAGGGTTAGGTGTTATACTTATAGTTAGTAGAATGTCTGTTGCAGACGCATCACAATAAAGAGTTAGCATATATTAAGCAGACAGTCTACTAATACTCTAATGAGAGATAGTTGACATGTAGTTGCAAAGTTACTTATAGTTAGAATGTATATCGAAGAATCTTACCAAAAAAACGTGTTTAAAGCATTTTTTTTTTTATTAAATGTTCTCTTTTGAATTCCTGTTGGTTTCATATTGTTTTCAAAAACTTAAACCAATTTCAAGAAAAAAACTGGTGTCTCTTAAAATGTAATTTGGAAATATCAAGTAAAAAGTAGTAACATATTTTGTCGTACATCTTTTACATATCTGAAGGCTAAGGATTTTTTGAGGATTTCAATCTAAAATATTTTTATTTTTATTTTTGATAAAATGAATCAAAAATACATTTAAAATTAAATATATAATCTGTTTTTGTAAATATTTTTGGGGGAAGTCACGGCGCATTATATTTTTAAACCTGAACTTAGATTTTTTTTTTTTTTTTGTAAATAACATTTTGTATTGTATTTTCGTTTAGATTAATAAATAGGACAAAATGTGAGTGTTGTCATTGACCCACATACATACAAATAATAAATTTTTTTTTTTTTGTCTGGCCCTGGTAGTCTTGCCAGCTTTTCATCAATGTGCTGGTGGAGTCTCCCTCAATTGACTACCACACCTCGCTGGCCCAGAATGCACTGCAGGTGTGCCTAACACATCCAGAGCTGCAGAATGAAATGTACTGTCAGCTGATCAAACAGACCAACTGCCGCACTCCTCACAACTATGCCCTCACACAGGTCAGTGCCATATTTGTGCGGACACACACTTCTCACTGAATCATCAGATCAAGTGTGGATCTGAATATCTCTCTTTCTTTCTCAGTGCTGGCAGCTGCTGTCATTGTGTGTGGCTCTCTTCCTGCCTCAGCATCATTTCCTGTGGTACCTGAGACAGTACCTGCAGCAGAACGCAGATCCCAGGTCACTGGCCGTACTGGCCCTAAATCTTCCAGTTATAAATCTGACTATATAGTTGTAAACCCAAATATATACCGTATTTTTGTTTGTAATATATACTAATAAATCTGAATACTAAATAAATAAATATTATAAAAATATTATACATTAAGGATTTCTAACAACCATTTTTTAAGAATTTACTTTTTATATATCTGTAAATCAGATTCACAATTGTATTATCAGACTTACAACTATACACTACCAATCAAAAGTGATTTTATAAAAGTTTTTGAAAGTCTTTTATGCTCACCAAGATTTATTTGATCAAAAACACAGGAAAAAATGCAATATTGTGAAATTTTGTTACAATTTAAAACCGCAACTGTTTTCAAAAACTGTTTTCTATTTTAAAATTTTTATTTTAATTGAATATTATATAATATTTATTTTAATAAAAAATTTTAATTGTTATTTATTGCTTGGATGGCAATGCAAAATTATTATAATTACAGAATAAAAATCGTATTACGCTTATAACAAGTGGGACAAATCTGACAATGAATCTAGAGAGATTATGCTTGGATTTAAGGGCATTTTGTGATGTTTACTGGAAAACAAGACTATGGTACTGATTAGAATAAGGGTTTTTCAGTGATGTCTAATGTACTGTGTACACTCACAGGACGGAAGTGGGGAAGTATGCTGTGTACTGCCAGCGCTCAGTAGAGAGAACTTTACAGAATGGAGAGAGAGAAGCAAAGCCTTCGCGGATGGAAATTCTATCTATTCTGTTGAGAAACCCCTATCATCACTCTCTACCCTTCAGCATACCTGTACACTTCATGAACAACACGTATGAGGTACACAAACACTTTCAGTGGCTCTTACATTACCCCAATAAAGCTTACAGTATCATACCTGTATTTGATGCACAAATTTCTAACGCCTCTAAATTATCAACACGATCAAAACTTTGCTGCTGTACAACATCTACTGAATTAGAGCTTATACTTTTTAGTAAGTAAAAGGCCTTTTAGCAACTTTTACTTGACTATCCATACATCCATCCATCTTCATTTTATTGCATTGAATTTTATGTTTTTCCCCACAATAGAATTATACAGAGCTTTGATCATAAAACTAATTATCATATATCATCTTACTAGGATATTATTGGGAGGTAGAGAGTGACAACTGATATTTATATGCATTTAATGCAAATAGCCTGCCATACTGGTATAAAAATTCTCATTGATTTACATTACAAGCTATCAAAATTTTAATTAGACTTTTTACCATATAAATATGGCAACTTCACTAAATTGCATATTTTTGTTCAGTTTGGGCCTCTGAATAAAACCAAGCTGCAACCTCTGAAAACTGCCGCTGACGAGTGCCAGTAATGTTTGTAATGGTCTTTTTTGAAGTAAAAAAGGGTTCACAACCGATTTAAATATATAGTTTACTCTTGAAATGGACCACGGTATACATAAGATATCATCTAAGATATAAGTCAACATTTGACTGTAAATATATATACATATACACATTTGTATCATTAGATATTTGAGAAAGTTTAAACCCAGTACTTACATTTAAAAGTGGAATTTAGCATTTTCTCTCAAAAAAATCTTGTCGTCACTGGCGCGCAATGAATCTTGGGATAGGCTAGGCTGAGAAGGATCCACTCGTTCTATCCTTCATGGCCCGGGAAATAAAGGATGCATTCGAAGGAGACTTTGAATGGAGTAAGCCCTAGTCACGCCGCTTCAAATGCACCCTTCGAAAGATGAAGTCTCTGAATTGGGACACAGCTTATATGAGCCGTAAAAGCCTAGTGTAGCAATTATGATATTTGACCAAAAACACATTATGCAAAATTTTACCTGTTACACCTGATATTTAATTCTAGCTTCATGCATTCTTTTTTATCAACACTTGAATGTAGGTTAGTTTCATTAAAAAAAGCAACATTTTGGACAAAAAGTGGATAAAATCACATTTTTTTCGCATGTGCATAAGCAATGCTTCTACAGTATAGCTTGTTTCTGCCTCTTCTCTTCCTGTGTTTTGATCTGGAGATTCTGGACTCTTGAAGATGGGTAATAGCACCCCCTAGCATTCAAAAGTGAAAACACAGATTGCCAGAAAATTCTCTCAGTGGAAGCGTTGTCATAAATGAAGGAAAATTCTGTCAATAGTGGGGAAAGAGTTAAGTTGTAGTCAGGACGGATGAGCATTTACACTACACGTGAAATGTGCTCACATGCGTATCCGAACATGTTTTTTAGCCCACATTTACACTTGTATTCAGCATTGACCACTTTTGATGGTCACAAAAAATGCATGATTGATTCCATGGGTAAACAGGTCCTTGATATATGATATGGAATTCATAACAGTTAAACGTTTTACTATACAGGGTGTTCTTTATACCCTCTTATCCTTCTCCACCTCTATAGGTTGTAGGTTTTGATGGTTCGACCACAGTGCAGGAGTTCCTGAACACAGTGAACCAGAGGGCAGGCATGAGGAAACCACAGATTTCAGGCTTTGCTCTCTTCACTGATGACCCATCTGGCAAAGACCTGGAGCACTGCCTGCAGCCCATTAATAAAGTATAATATGAACATTTAAATATTACAGATTTTATAAAGTGCATTTTCTGTTCTGCAAAAAAATGATTTTTGTAATCCTCTGGTGCAGATTTGTGATGTGATCTCCAAGTGGGAACAGGCACTAAAAGAACTTCATCCTGGAAAATATGAAGGAACACGAATTGTCCGTCTCACTTATAAAAGCAGGTACGTTGAAATACGGTGGTCTCGTACGCCAAAAATCGATTGAAATGAACAAATAAGAATGTTTTTACCAATATTTTCAATAATGTTAGTATTCGATCTTCCTCGTAGGCTGTGTTTCCGAGCTCAGGCTAAGGGGGAAACTGAGCGAGAGCGCCTTCTGCTGGCCTATCAAGTAAATGACGAGGTACAACAAGGGCATTTCCCTGTCAGTAAGGAACTGGCCCTGGAAGTGGCTGCGCTGATGGCACAGGTGTGTGTCGATCTAAATCACATGTTTCTGTTTCATTTCATTTCATTTATTTATTTATTTCAACAGGGACAATGTGCAAAAAAACATTAATTAAAGATGCTTTGCACCAGATTTAGCTTAAGCTAGTTTCCATCTGTAGTCCCCGAGCAGGTGAATTACAATACAAAATATACAATATAAAATGTTAGAATTAGTCACTCAAATACAACTATCTATCAATTCATTCATTCATCATTCTCTATTTCAACCATCAATAAAACCTCACTAAAAGTCATATTTACATACATAATTATCTATGCTGGCACAACTGGTTGTTCAATAGTACTTTCCTTATATTGATAGAAAAATCCTTCAGGTTAAAAGTGAGTTTTAGAGCCTTTGGGAGTTTGTTCCATTCTTTAATGCCCTTGGATGAGAAGGCTGTCTGTGCAAAGGCCGAGCTACATTTAGGCAGCCTGCAATCATTGCAACTTGTGGACCTGGTGGACCTGGACCTGGTTTGAGGGTGAGTTTATCTTTAACAAACGCAACTCATTTATCTTTTAGGTCGAGCATGGTGACCTAGACCGGCCGGCAATGTCTCCCGCTGGTTCTCCTCAGCCGAAGACCCAACAGGTCCTTCTGCAGGTACTGGAGCGTTTTTACCCCAAACGCTACAAGCTAGAATGCAGCATTGAACAGCTCAGGTAAATTCACATTTATTTCATTGAGTACATTATAATCACATCACATTCATGTTTATTATATTATTATTTATATTTAGCATTTAATTGTATACTATTTCATTCAGTGCATTTCAATTTCAATTTCATGCATATTACACATTGGAAAGTTGTTGCTGTTCACGGTCAGGGACTATTTTTATTCTAGTGGAAGGAAGGCTTTTAGTGATTTTACTTCATTAAAGTTGCACTAATAAATTTTCTTTTTTTTGTATTGCTTAATAATATGATGTTTTTCTTCATTTAAAAAAATGCGCTCTATACAAACACACTATTCAATAGCAACTTTGTCCCACAGGGACCTCGGTGAGCGTTTGGCCACTAAGTGGTCTGTCCTGGGTGGGTGCACAGCCTCCGAATGTGTGAGAATCTATCTGACCGTGGCCCGCAAGTGGCCTCTGTTTGGGGCCAAGCTGTTCAGTGCCAAGGTAAGTTCAGATGTAGGTGAGGCTACAGTTTCCAGAACCACTGCCAAAATTAATGCAGTCGCAACCTCGACCACTTAAAAAGGTTTTCAGATGTACCTTTTCACAAGAGCGCTGTTAAAACATGACAGGATTTCTCCTTTTACTCCCACTCTTGTTGGTGCACAGCCATTGCCTCCCTCTTCATTGGATCAAACTCAGGTGTGGCTGGCTGTTAATGAAGATGGGCTGAGTGTCCTGGACTACACAATGGTGAGTGTATGTTTCAGAAAGTAAGACTGCGTTAACGGAATATTACGGGCCATTTACATCTTAAGCTCTTAAGTGTGCTGTTAATTACCACAGAAAATCATTTAGACTCCCTCAGGTTGTAAAAACAAATGAAAAACATACTTACAGTAATGTTCTTATAATGGAAACCTACAAGTCAAAAGTGCAGTGCAACTATAATGCTCGTTTAAGAATATAACAATAACAAGGAATCTGATGTTAGTATAATGTCATCTGTAAATATATTTACATTTATAGTCAAAAGGAAATGCATAATTCAGTCATGAAGCTCTAACCGAACACTGATTGGTTGGTCATTAGCCAACCAGATGTACTTGTATTAGCCAACCAGATGTACAGATGTATAATGAAAAATGTTGTTTCCTCCTCCTCCTCCTCCTCCTCTCTGTGGCCACTTGTACGGATCTGCTATAGGCGTTTTAATATACTCTTGCAGCAGCATGTCCTTATGTGTTATTTTAACTAAGCTGAACAAACTGTTGTATTTGCTTAGCAGCAGCGAATGTGCATTCCATGCCCCATGCTGGTTAAATAATTCACTCCCAGAGTTGTCACGATTGAACTAGTGTATTACAGCCAGGACATGAACAAATACTCCAATACTAATCTTAACAAATACTCCACAAAAGCTATTTATCAAAACAGTGAAACATCATTTTACCTTTTATTATCACAACCTAATTAAATGATTACTTCACTTTTAAAAGATGTCCACGTCTTTCTTTCCTCAGTCGAAAAGTAATTAAGGTTTTTGATGAAAACATTCCAGGATTTTTCTCCATATAATGGACTTCAATGGGAACCAAACGGTTCAAGGTCCAAATGAGAGTTTCAGTGCAGCTTCAAAGGTCTTATCAAGCGAAACGATCGGTCATTTCAAAAATAAATAAAAAAGTTCAAATTTTATAAGCACAAAAACGAATGAACGAGTTCAAACAGGAGAGTCACGAGCATTTGTGCTTATAAAACTTAAACTTTTTTATTTATTTTTTTAAATGACCGATTGTTTCGCTATATAAGACCCTCATTGATCATCTGGTGTCGTTTAAAGCCCTTTGAAGCTGCACTGAAACTCTCATTTGGACCTTGAACCGTTTGGCACCCATTGAAGTGCATTATATGGAGAAAATCCTGAAATGTTTTCATCAAAAACCTTAATTTCTTTTCGACTGAAGAAAGAAAGACGTGGACACCTTGGATGACATGGGGGTGAGTAAATTATCAGCAAAAGTTTTTTTTTTTAAAGTGAACCACTCCTTTAACATTTATTCGCTGTTCCAACATATCCTACCACTTAAAATGTAATAATGTTTTAGTAATGTCCATGGGGAGCGCACAACCAGACGTTCATTCACCTAGAAACGTAGTCCCAGCTCAAAAGAACAATTTAATCAGCTATAACAAAAATATAAGCATCATATTTCTGCTTTTACACCTCTGGTCCTCAAGCTTGCTGGGCCTCTTTTGTAAATGCACTTCTTTTCAGACCTTTAGCGCCATCTCTTGGCGCGGTGCATTTCTCAATACTGCTCTTATGTTTCTAGAGCTGTATTAAGATCTATCTGGCACTGAGGGAGCCACATTGGCAGGTGGGCTGGTTTGAAATGTTTATTGACCAGGAAGTTTCCAAAAGCTGTAGTCCTGATTTCTTGCCCAGTTGGCTGTATTCTCACTTGGAGAAGTCGAGCTGTTTTGAGAAAGAATAAACAGGGTCAGGGCAGACTCTGTAATTTTCTATTTTTATGTCGTCTTTTATTTGGTTTACCTCTTCATCCATTCACTATTCTCACCAGCTCACAGAAGAAAAAAAATCTGAACAGGAACAGAAAGCCAGTGATTCATATTTAAATTTTAAAAAGTTTTTTTTTTTCCATCAAAAACACCCAAAACTTTTGATAGTGTATATGTTTGTTTTTGTAGAGTCCAATAAGATAAAATCTCTCAATTTTGTGTACTCTGAATTTTTAGCACCCATTGGCCACATATCCATACCAGTCCGTGATCACCTTCGGAGGCTGCAAGGAAGATTTCATGCTAGTAATCAGCCAGATTAAAGACCAGGCTTTGGGCAAGAAGACTGTGGATAAACTTTTATTTGCACTGGCTAAACCAAAGGTAAGTTACAAAACACAGTTTAACTGCAGTTCCATATGCTGCCAGTAAAGACAGAATTCTGATATACTGTATGTGGTGCTTTTAGCATCAAATTTTATTACCCATCTTAGAAATCTAATCTTAAGTGTGTGTGGGTAAAATCAGATCTTAAAAACAGATCTTAAAAACAACCCATCTGAAACCACTATCTGATGGTAAAAACAGGGGGTTCACTCATACAGCATTACATGATACAGGAAGTGCTAATGAGCTCCACTGAGGGAGGATCTTTATATGCATTTCTGTCTTTTTTGGCGAGATACAGTAATGCCTTGTTCAGATTACACAATTTTTTTTGTTTTTTACGATAGTCACGGTGTCAGATTATGCGATTTTGACTTCTAAAATCTTGTCGTGTCGTGGACAAGACACGTTGCTTCCTGACCAGTCATCGCATGCCGACTTTAACGGCGCACGTGATGTCATCGAGTAGGCAAAACTAGTAGCGAGTGACTTCCGGAAACAAACGTAAACAAACAATGGATAAAGCGGTGAGTGTTGTATTGGCTGTCCTGTGTTCAGAAAAAAGTAAAAAAAAAAGAAAGAAAACCCGACAATGGAGACGTTCCTGGATTGCTCGAAGAGGACAGTATTGGCTGTCAATCCTCCAAAGAGAACTTGAGGTAAAATATTGTTTTCTTATATATTTTTACTTATAGTTTTAATGTTTAGCACCTTCGTCTCTCTTTCATTTCGCCTTTTTTGAAAGTTGTGTATTTAAAAGCTTCTGTGCTCCTATTGGTCAACCTCATACATGTGACGGAACCGTCGTGGACGACCGTTAAAAAAAATGAAACATGCTAGTCGTTTTGTCGTGATGTCGTGAAGCATCACAGGCGTGACGTAGGTTGTCACCCACTATGACACACTATACGTGATGATACGATCGAATATTGCGTCCCGTTTACGTTTTCGTTTACGAATCCCCATGACACCCTACGTCAAACGGATCGTGCCAAAATCGGGCTAAAATCGTGTAATCTGAACCAGGCATAAGAGCTAGTTAAATATAGAAATATTTATCTACCAAAAAGTTTGCTCTTCTGATTCTGCTGGTTCATTGTGTTTCTCTCTCTCTCTCTCTTTCAATGCTGTAGATCCTGGAACTGACTCTCCTCATGGCTAGTTATATTAACTACTGGACCTCCAGCTTACCAGGGGCCGGTAACCAGACTCAAGGCTCAGTGATGGGGCCTCAAAGAGACCGGAAGCTCTGGGACATCGACAGCCGACACTTCCCCTCAATGACATACACAACCAAAGGCCCCACTCTCCTTTAAAACCTCAGTCTCCAGGTGTCTGGACACATCGCATGGTCCGCATACACAAACAAAAACACATTTTGGGAAACTTTAGATGATTACATTTGGGATACAGTTCAAACTTTTTGTGTTTGAAGGTTCAAACGATAAACTGGAAGAAAAAAGTTATTTATTGTGCGAAACGGTCAACTACTTGCACACTGTTCGTAGTCCAAATACAAAAAATAAACACATCACAAAGTGGGTTTTCGTAGTAACCCACCCTGAGAAGATCACCCACCGAGTCGGAGTAGATCCAAGAGTATTTTATTCTTGAGTGCAAAAAGATTGGCTCTCATTTTTAAGGAATTAGAGCTTTTAAACTGGACGTCCAGTTAAAGACATGGTTTGACTTTTTCACTTGCGCGTAACATGATTTTGTTTCATCTATGTCTTTGTTTGAATTTTCTATTGTTTAGTTAGTTTTATGTTTATGTTTGTTCAGGACATTTCCCACTGTTTAACGGTACATTAATTAATGGTACCATCAGTCATATACAGTTTGTACCATCAAGTTTATACAGTGAATACTTCATCAGGATGTGTAGAAACAGATCATCTCTATTATTAGCACATATGTGGAAACTAGCTAAACCAGTATAGAAAGGACAGTCTTATGTGGTACAAAACTCAACAGTGGTACTGTTAGTGTGTCTAATGGTAGTGTAACAGGGTTGATGAGTTCCTTTCACTTATCCAAACAGGAAGTGACATCATCAGCATCTCATCAGCAAGTTACAGAGTCTGGGCTAAAAGTTTTAGTTTATGCTCTCATATTGCGTGCCATGCACTACCAAACATAATGCTTCATCTGAGCCAATGTGTTTTCATCAGTGACGAGTTTCATGCAATACAGTAGTTGCAAAAGGCACACACATATTTCATATTTACTTCTACTAGCCATAGTCTTGCCTTTTGTTAAGAGAAAAAAATCGATGCACACCACACACATTTCACAACATTACGTTAATATGTGCAGGATCATGTATTTTCGTGAAGTTTGTAGCTTGAGAATGGTCATAAATAATTATATTATGATATCCAGTGCTGGGTGGATTACTAACCAATTTGTATTTCATTTCTGACTCCAAACATTACATTACACATTTAAGGTAATACAATCTGACTACTTTTTGATCACATTGATTTAAATAGGATAATATTGCACCATATTGATATTAAAATACAAAGAGAAAGAAAATATATTCCATTCTTTGTTATGAACAACATTAAACATTACATAACGTCAGGGTTTCCCAAACGGGTTTGTGAAGGAACTGCAGGGGGCTTGTGAGTTTATTGAAAAGATAATAATTAAATAAATAATAAAATGTCAAATTAAAATAAATAATAAAAAAAAAATCTAATAATAAACATGTGTTAAAAAATCCTTTCAAATACATAGCAGAATGGTTAAATGACTTTCGGAGTGATAATTCAAATAATACATTTTTAGTCTGCTTATGAGTATTTTAAAATGTAATCTAATTACAAGTACTTAATCTGGATTACATGATCAGATTCCAAAAATTATGTGGTTAGTTACTACCCAGCACTGATGATATCATTATGACATGTGACATTTTTTTTTATATGCAGATTTGAAAAAATATGAAATCGTAGCAGTTACTACAAAGTGGAAAAACATTGCATGCTTTCAACCATAGAAAATTCTTTCATTTTCTTTTTTCCACCATAAATCATAAAACTTAACCACAAATATAAGTGTTATCTACATTGTAAAAGAGAAAAATGCAAAGAATTATCAAGAGTGTTTCAGAAATTAATAATTGAAGACACACTGTACCCATAATATGGCAGATTCTGAAAGATTTGAGGGTGTGGGTTTTGAAAAAGCTGTAATAATGATATGACTTGAATTATTCTTTGAATCAAACCACTTTCTCTGAATTTTGAATATTTATTTTGTCATTTAAAAAAAAAATCATTTTTGGTCTAACCAACTTGTTTTCTTTAGTCAGACTTGTCTAGAAACTTTAGTGTTCCAAGCAGCCAATTGGAGACAACGTCACTTTTGTCATTGTTAAGATTCGAGGCGGAAAATGTGGCAGTACAGTCATTCAGAAGTGATGCTGTGAGAGCTTTAGATTTTATATGCATAGAGATTGTTATAAATAAAAAGTTAATTGTGCCGCTGTTTCCTTTTGATTTTTAACTCTTGCACTCGATTTGTGGACTGAATTATATAACCCTTATATACAGTATGACTATTATGTTGAGTTCTTCTTTTTCGCTTACAGTATGTGAAAAACATGTCTCCATTCAACTATAATTTATCAAGAAAACCTTTTCGTTTAGGCTAAAGGCTTTCTGTTTGTCCGTAGCAATCACGGTAAAGCCTCGGACGAATTTACAGAACAGTTTGTTTAGATTTACTTGTTGTTATATTGCAGAAAACACTGATTCATAACTGCAGATTTGCTGGCCACCGTGTAGGTTTATAGACAGGGTGGGGTTTCTCTGCTCTCACACTCCAGGCAGGTCAAAGTGCTAATGGCATTTCCCTGCCAATAGGCTGCTATAAATTCACATTTGAAAATTAAACGGGGAAAAAATGTGTATGTGCTAAGCTAATACGGTAATATGCTTATTATTGAGCCACGCTCTCTCTAAGCGAGTTGTAACGTTGAATTAGGGAAAGCGTGCTTTTCATTGTTGCCTTTTGCAGGATGGGAAAAAAAAATCTGTGGCTCACTACATGGTTTGGAGGAACCCCAGACTTTCTCAAGGATGTATTTTTATATTTCTCTTCACATTTTAAATGACAGCTTTTAGTTTATGAGACATCGAGTAAACTATTTTAAGCTCCGGGTTCTGCTGTAAAACTCAAACAAAATACAGTGACATATCTGAATGTCATCTGATGTCATTTATTATTCACTTGAATTTCTTTTATTTTGTTACAACTATGCAATAACTTATCAGTCAGTGCTTAAATTGTTTTTGAAAAGTACTGTGTGTAGCTACATTTATATATTATTCATAAATAAAAACTTTATATATCTTACATTTAAATAATTTACATGGCAACTGTTAAAAAATCCCATAATGCACCATGCTAGTTTCAGAGCTTATTTTTTAATGTGGAAAACACTATAAGCTTATAATAAACAATAAGCTGTTGTATTAGATTGAAGGGGAAAAAAAAGTATATACGTGCTTGTCCACCAGACAAAGTAGAATTTATCTACATTAATAAATAAACATTTGTAAGTGATATTTCAATTCATTATTCTGACTTTAATATGTGAAAGATATTTTGCACGAAGATTAAGATGTTTAGTTGCAACTATAACTAACCTAAAATCCCTAAAATAAGAGACTAAATACTCTTATAAATATTTATAATACACTTTACCTGTTTCATAGACAAGGCTTAAGCTTAGTCCCAGACTAAAATGCATGTTTGAGCTGTTTTAACTAAAAGCTAGGCTATCTGAAATATATTGTGGCCATTGTTTTGTCTCAAGATGCACACCACTAATGATTTTATTTTTTATTTTTCTCGAAGGCACGTTAATAAAAGCTATAGTAAATGTCATGATTGAACTATAAGGCCTGGCTTAATCTAAACCCTGTCTGTAAAACTGGGCCTTTAAGTCACAATGTATTAAAATTAATGAATGGCATTACATGCAATATTAGTTAGCATTTATGTTTAAAAAGCAAGCCAAACATTTCACAAAAAAGTGGATTGTTTTAAGTGATAAAACATTAAATATACTTTGAACTTTTGGACGAAAGTGAAACGTGATGAACTACACCTGATTACTCTAGTCGGACACCTGCGTGGAACTGACTTTATCTAGGCCTATAAAATCGCCTTGTCTGAAAACGTTAGGCCATTTCTGATAAAAGCTTTAGCAACACCTGTTTGCAGATGGGAATCGGTTAGGTTTTAATATAACAGTGACATTCGACGTGTTTAAATGTGAAATACTGTAAATAAGCAATAGTAGCCTACCATATTATTATTTCTATTAGATAATTCGTTTGCACTCGCTTTCTGCCAGTGGCCCGAGTGAGTTAAAATTAAACTGCATTGCCCAAGTGCGCGCTCACACACCGACTCCCTCATTTCAGCTCGCGCGCCTAGACGCCGCGTGTCAGAAGTTGAACAGCGCTGCATCTCCGTAACGCGAGGAACTGCAATAAACAACCTTTCCTGAAATCCCAAACTAAAGTAAGGTTTAAACACACACGTGTAGTCCGCAGCACTATATCATGCGGCTTATGACCACATCAACGTACTAACTAATTCCTCTAGGCCTTTTCAATTTAATTACGCATTGCATTTCACTGAAACTGTTATTAATGATAAAATAACAAATAGGTTTAAAATGCGGCAGCACTGATATAACATTTTTTCCTTCTCAACGTAGGCCCGGAATCAGAAAATGACAACTAAAAAGCAAAGTTTATTGAGAGAGGCGTCTCATCAGATCATTGCGGGTGGATCAGCAGGTAAGACTCCCTTAAACTCTCTATTATTTCACACAATCCGCAACTTTGTTTACCAACTCGTTCAGTCTCGCGCGCGGCTCGTGCACATTCATCACCAGTTAGGCTAGCAGACACTTTATAACGCCATGAGGTGCGTGTTAAAGACTTTTCGTCAGGTGTTTTGTAGTAGAATAAATCTGTTTTGTGTGTTTAAATGTGTTTGGATAGTAATTTTCAAGTTGACTAACTTGACTAACGGACGAGTGCTCTAACCGGATGTCTGTGTCTGGAGATGTACGCGGGATACACGCGCACTTCAGTTGGTTCCGTTTACAAATCGTTCCCTCAGTTTAAGACGCTTTTTCTTCACGATTTGTTTGTGTAATAATAACCTATTTAGTTTATTCTTGGTAAAAGTAAAATGTTTCTTTAGCTCATCCTTATTATGTTTACTTGGTTTAAATGCCATCTGTAGGCTATATTCATTTACATCACATTACATTTAGTCATTTAGCAGATGCTTTTATCCAAAGCGACTTACATCTGAATAAGAGTCTTATACATTCTATAAGAATATGAGTGATATGTTCTTTTATTTTATCAAGAAATGTCTGGGGTTTTTTGTAAGTTCAACAGCCATCAACGACCAAATGAAGCTTCAGTACACAGAACACCAATTGTTTTATTAATTGTTTTATGTAGCTAATATACACATAGCAGACAGAATTGAAGTCTGCACATTCGTAAAAAGCAATGATGCCAACTACTTTGCAAAAGGCTTCTTTATGCATTTTGAGTTGGTCAAAATGTATTGGCAGAGAAATAGGAAAATCTTGTTAGGTAGCTTTAATAAGAAAGTGTGCCATTACAGAAATTAAGTTTGTGTTCATCAAAATATCGATGTCATGAGGCTAAAAGAATCTCAATTGTGGGATAAATTTACTCAGGAATCGAGCAGACTGCAAAGTGGAGCTTATATTGCTTTTTTTATAATCTACCAGGCTATTTTAGCAGTGACAATGAAGGATTTTGAACTTAGGTACCAGTTTGTTTGTAACGTTAAGAAAATTAATGAATAACAACCCCTTTTCATTTGATGAACTTTGCATCATATTTATTTAGCACAAAAAAGGTTTCTTTCTTTCTTTCTTTCTTTCTCTTTCTTTCTTTCTTTCACAGTGGTAGAATAACCCAGTGTTATTAGCTCGCACCTCCTGCACTTGTCATATTCCCTCCAGCTCCCTGTTAACGAGGCTGGGGAGCGAGAAAAGTTAATTTGTGTGTGACCTGGTCACAGGGCTTGGATTGGGTCTGTGCTTGGCTTCTCTCAGGCTTGGACTGACTCTCCAAAATTGCTTTTTTTTCCCCCCTTAAGGACACAAGAGTTAATGTCACTGCAGTGCGTTTTATATATCCTACCAGGACTCATTTTACAGCCTTTCCATCCAAGCATATATGGAGAAATTGGGGCATGTGTTAAAGTCTGAAATTGGGGAGAGTTAGGCTCTATCTAATAATAACCAAGTAATCCTGATGTCAAGTTTTTTTTAATCTACCACAAGGGGGAAGCATTGTACTCGGCATTGATTGTAGTCTCAGAGCATTTTTCAACTTTTGGTTGTTTTTCATGGTTTATGGAAATGTGACTATTATTCTGTGACAGTCCATCTGTTGTAAATTCATTACATTTAAAAATACACAAAAGCATGTGAGAGAAGGTCATTATGCGACAGAATTACTTGAAAATGTATTCACATTTTAAATATCCTCTCCATCCTTTAAGTATTGTCTCTTTAATGAATCAAGTAATTAATCAATCAAATCTGTGTTGTACTTAATCAGGTTTGTTTCTTGCAGTATATGACAGTATATTTATAAGTACACTAATATTTACTGACTTGCCTTTTATTTAGGAAATATTCCATCTACTGTATATGGAACTAGCTGACAATACACAGTGCAATCCAGCTTTAATTGTGAAAAATGGGCCTGAATTAGTTTAGCCGGATATTGCGATCTTTGCATTTGCCCAATTATATAAAAAATTCTCTTTCATAAGTTCTCTTAATGGGAACTTATTTTCCTTTCATCATATATCTTAGTATTAACCAGAAGGTCCGGAAGAGCGGTCAGATGTTACCTTAAGTGTTTTTGGTATTGATTTCCTCTCCCTGCCCCTGTTATGCAGAGTAATTTGGTAAGATTTACACAAAAATGTTTTAGTTATGATTAGTTTCTGTGTAAACGTATCCGCCGACTCCAAATGGAGTGTGACGGGAAAAGACAGACAGCCTAAGTATAATTGAACTCAGTCCACAGCAGACCCTCACTTAAAACACACTCAGACCTCTACAGTTTTAACTGGTGGTGCATAAGTGTGAAATAAAGTCTGAGGATCAGACGAATAAATCCATGTAGCCTCAATCGAGAAGAAGAAAGGACTACAACAAGATCAAATAAATTCAGGTAATTAAAAGGAGGACCCTGCATGGGAAAAACGACTGTTTCCTCTCCGGCCCACGACTGGCCACTACAATCAGAGCTGAATTAGCCCTAATATTTATTTCCAGAAACAATTGTACATGCCTCAGCAAGGCAATGATTGGACATGTTGTGGACAGATGTTTAGATGAGCTCATGTTTGAATGTTGATTTTGGAGGGTTCTTCTAGTCTCTAAATCGCCGCCTTCTGTCGTTTTAAGACTTTTGCCTTTTTGTCACTGGACAGTGAATTCTGTGAACAAGCTACAGTGTATAATCAGAGTTGTAAAGATATTTGTGTAATTATGCAGAAAGTTTGACTGCATTTGTAGTTCGCTCCTCGATGTGTAGAAAACCGTTTTTGAAATGGGGCAAAAACGCAATTAAACCATAATAAACATTACAAAAACAAACAGAGGAGATTTATTGACTGCTACGACTAATTACCACTAGAGGAAATGTGCAGGATCATAATGTCACAAGAAATCAGTTGACTGCAACCAGGCATGAAGTATAATGGTAACATATGCAGCAAGGAGCTTAGAGTCTCCAAACAGATCATATACCTCCCACATGTACCTGAAGTAGATTGGAGCAAACCCCACAAATGTGCGCAATATGCGTTTGTTTACACCATGGATTACCCTCTACTGGTGATAAAACATCACTCCCTCTAAGTCTGACCCATACGCCTGCGAGAACTACTGTGTCGAACTACTGTTTGCGTGAGCCGTATGTGGGTTGTCGCGGTTGTGTCAGCTGTTTATCAGAGAGAATGGAGTTTAGTCTGCCGGGGTAATGTACGAGCCAGCCAGGGGCTGTCGACGTTATCTTAATGGTATGATTTATGGAGGTCGCACGCTGAACGAGCAGAGGATCCGCGACAGATGGGGACGTGCGTGGGAGATGTTTCTGTAGACGCGCGCGCACACACACGCTCTCATCCATCATGCATTTTGTGTGGCTGTAAGCAATGAGGATAATTGCGGTGTTATGGTAAGAGTAGCGTGATTATGATTGTTCGACATGGGAGGCTGTGTCTGGGCTATAGCGCTCGTGCTCATTTTCCGGGGGAAATTGTTCAAATGAGGCCTTAGGAGCGAAGTGAAAAGACTGAAAGGAACTGGCTGGCTACAATAAACACAATACGTTCTATCGCCCGATAACGATGGTGATCTAATCAGTGATGTTTTGATAAAACATAGGCCCACTCTTAGTGTTTGAGTGTGCCATTGGCATTTGGAATGCCTTTAAATTTTCTGAAATGATTTTTCTATGAAGAAATCTTGGCAGTGGGTAAACGCATGCCTTTAAAGTCTTTTTACTTGTTCCTGGTAAAGAAAAATTTTTTCTTGCGTATTCTTTTTATTAAACGTTAACTACTTCTGGCTCGGAAGTTGCTTTCGAAACTACTATTAATCAGTAGTGAATAAAGCTATTAAGGCAGTGTTTACGATTAATGTTGTAGATAATGCAGCCTTTCTAAAAGATTGGCCTTATAGTTAATGAAGTAATTGGATGCCTGTTAATGTAATAAAAGTTTACAGCAATAATTGCAAATAATGATAGCAACTAAAAAGGAGTGTTTCCATTGGGATACATCAAGATGCTCTCAAGGGTGAACTTGACCTTCACCCTTCATGTCTGTGGTCAAAAAAAATCATCAACAGTGTTTGAGGAGGGGAATGGTTTTCCACAATCCAATGCAAACTTGTATTCAATCAATTTAGGCTACGTACAGTAACGCACACTTTTCTCAATGTAGTCTAACATTTTTCATCAAATTTGCTGTCACTTGAGAATATGTCATATTGCGTAAGGAAAATAGGTTGCGAAAACATTATCATTTTGATTTTTTTTTTAAACCTTTTACACTCAAATAACCAAAAAAACAGGTGGTCTGACATAACATGAAAACATATGAGTCAAGGGATGGGGAAAAAAAAAGTCTGAGATGTCAGAGATTTCCAAAGGAATGAATATATTAGAACATGCAGCCATTGGCCGGACACACTGTATTACATACAGTACCGTAATACAGCACATGGCAGCAATAACATAGCTGGAAAGGAAACTGGCTAACAAGCTATGCTTAATTGAGCACTTAGTCTAAGTAGTCAAGGGCCATAGTTTGAATGACCCTGTAGGAAAATGAAACTGCACGGTAGATGATACAACGTGTGTGCATGCGTTTGCGTGTAAGCATTCACTTTTTCTTGGACCGCTGTCCAGTTGGCTGTTGTTCGACCTTGTAATTAGCACAGAATGCTGATATGTCTTTTGGCTGGAGAAGAGCTTTTGATGGAGTGATCACAACATTGCATTGATCGTAAAGTCTTGTATGAAACGTATTCCCATAAAGGCTAAAAATAATCTTCTAAGGAGCTCTCCTTAAATTCACTTTAAATTTGTAATTGTTTCTCAGTTCACCATGCTGTAATTTGCAGTGACTTAACTGTGGTGGAAAACTCGTGTTTTGCTCCGTTTGAGAAACAAATCATTGTCCCGTTTCAGCTTTATATTGTCTGGAAACGTCGGGC